CAGATATATGCTATCCAAAAAAACAAAATAAAACAATATGTTCTCTTTATGTTTTCCTTGTGTTTAACTTATTATTGGTCTAAATAGTGACTGAAAATGCAAGGGGAGCATCTAAATCTAAGTTGACAGTTATTAAACCTAGTGTAACATTAACCCAGAATTACTAGTCATCTCCAATAATGCCACTTATAGATGTATGTGTGTAAGTAAAGAAGGAAGGCCTAACCGGTACTTATCAGCAATGGTGCTGGCTAACATATACTCATGTTATATGTGGTGAGTTTGTGCTGTTAAAACTCAGATCTGTTTCTTGCATTTCTTTCATGTCTGTTGAAGATCAGGGAGAGTTAAAAAAAAAAACACAGAATAGACAAGTAATTATTTTACTGTGATGTTCCATCTTCAGTTCCAATTCTCCTTCTTGTTACCACTTCCCTTTTTGAGGAAGTTGCACCTCTGTCAGTGGCAGTCAAGGTAACACATACATCCTCAGTGCGTCAACTGTTTAGTTCAGTAGTTTCCCATTTAATGTGGAACTATAATTTTACACCCTGTGTACTTCTGTATATGTTGATCCGATTGTAAACTGTAAATAAAGTAATCTTGATTTACCAAAATGATTTTGCATGAAAGGACCTTCAGGTTTTGTTGATGGCACTTTTCATTTGTTTGGAATTTTGATATCAGTAAATAAAAAGAAATTCAATGTCTCTACAGACCAACGACTGGAACTAATTCATTTTGAAATGTCGAAATCGGATGTCGTCTAGTACTTTCAGTTATTTTAAAAAGGTGTTTTTAAAAGGCAGATTTTGTTGTGTTGCTCAACATGTCTGTTGTGAACTGCTTATATTACGCATGGGTCATTACATCAAGCAGGAAAAACTGTTTGGTCTTTTTGTGTGGCAGGTATGTGGCTGTAGGTGATCCCACGGGTGAAAAGACGTGGAAAGATATGCAGACAGATGGAACATGATGTGTTGGAGTTCAGTAAAAAGCAACACTTCATTTTTGGTTCAATGTGAAGAGAGCAATGTGAGCACATCTGTAACTGTTTTCAACATTTGCACCACATCCCAAAATATGACTGTGATTCAAAGGGTAAAGGAAGTGTCCCAAACAGACCTCAGCCAGCAGCTCCAAGCAGGAAAGACATCTTACATTGCAGCTGCTTTTCTTGCATCATTGTTTAAAGCTATATTACCATATAATTTCACATCTCAGCTTATGTTTTTAGGTTGTTTTTCTTTAGATCTTCATCCTTTTTTTTCCTCCATCGGTTCATGTGATTCTAAACATGTAGAGACATTGCGTCAGTGTCTCAACAGACACTTCCCAGAGCTGAAGTGATATGTTGAGACTTAAGGCACAGTTTGGTTTTTTTTTTGGTTTTTGTTTTTAATAGAAAAGTTGTAAGGAAATTATATGCAAAAGAAACTAAACTAGACATTGGTGAATACTTCTGGAATTCATGAAATTGGTTCTTTATTGAGATTAAGTGTTATTTCAAACGGTCATTACTGTTTTTTAGAGGGGGTTCATACTGTTTTGAGTGCACGTAAGGAGCATGAAAAGGACAACTAATTAGATTCTATTCAAATGATATTTGCTTAGCATACTCCTGCGCTCAAACCCACCAGTATTTATTTCAGACTATGAGATTTATGTCAACAGCCCCATTTAGCCTGGAAGTGGTCTGTCTGAAATGAGAGGCCATCATGCTTTGTTAATTTCAGACAAGCAAGTGTGGTCTCCAAGTCTTGATGCAGAACCTCAGGCCTGTCAGAACAGGAAATGCTGGCAAAGTACTGACAAGACACCCTTGTTTAGCTGATGTTCATATTTAAGATGGAATGGTAGGGCAAACTTGAGTCAAATTCCTTCCTTTGCTATGAAAAAAAAACTCAAAAAGGAGCTTTTAGTAATTTCTTTAAACTGTTTTCAAGGACAGAATAAGTGCAACAAATTAATTTATGACACAGAATAAAATCATTTGATGCACAAGTGTTAACCGTAAGGTGAAAATGATCAAATTGGAAACTAATGCTAATGCTCATTAGCACGTTGGATCACTTTTGTTGGCCGTCGAGTCCTTTGAGAGTAGGGTTGCACTGGGATAAGTGAACAACCAGTTTAGTACCTGGGGTCATTCTCCTGTCAAAAACTATAATCGGATTAGGATAATTGTGACTATTCTGAGGAAGTAATCAGTGGAAAAACAAACCGAGACTGAGTATGTCTGTTTTGATGATGACATATTTTCAAAAGACACTACATGCATGGGAAAACTTTCATGCTTTGCTTTTTCCATTAGAAATGTGTGTTAAATCTTTCCATCCTAGATTTCCACCCCAGAGATCGCTGAAAAATGTCACATTTCCCCAAATATACAGGTCCACAATTAACCAACACTAAATGTGACTGAGATGAACCGGCAGATTGCTTTTGAGATGTCTTCAAAATCTTTTTTTTCTTTATGTATCGTCACCCTTCTTTTCACTGGAAACACAGGAGGTTAACATCTGTGCTCAGTGGCTGCTATAAGCCAAACAGATGCACTGATGAATGCAATGCCAATTATTAAAGAAGAATGAGCTTTACTTTCCGATTAACAGTAAGGCTCACACAATGTTTGCCTTCAGACAGTAAATGTAGAAACTTATTTTGTGTGATCTGGGGAGTGAGTGTCTTCTGGCATAATGATTCTTTCTTCAGTCATTATAAATATCTGCTCGTAATTTAATCACAAGGGGAAAAGTCAGCCTAATTTTTTCTGGATCTTATTTCTAAAGTGCTTCTATGGAGAGGTGACCTGAAACTTAAGCTATTTCGGTAATACAAGTTTGTCAAAATGATCAGTTTAAAAGATCATGCCTTTGCCAACTCAAATTAACGCAAATCTTCCAACTCAGATCATCATATGTTTTGTGGATGTGTGTATTGTTAGAAACAAGTTAGGAATTTTCTGGTCAATTTTATTTGTCAACAAATAGGGAGGTCTAAACTGAGGAATGAGGAAGAGAATTTCCTCCTCTTCATAATGTACTGTGGACAGTTGGTGGGTTTGATTCAGCTTTATGTTTAAAGAAACTGTACACTATTAAGTGCTGTAAGAATCTTTTTCTCACCTGTCGTTTATTTTTTTACTGCTTAGAAACTGTCTGCAGTCATCCTGCCTGCGATAGGCTCTCGGTTTCTCTTCTGGCCATTCTACAGATGAGAATTGTTTATGCTGTGGAGGCTGCGGTCACTGGCTGGATGTGCAGTGGGCGTCTGGCCAAGCCAAAGCCCACTGAAACGGTCTGCTGCAGACCTCCCTGTCCTGTCAGCTGACTCACTTTCCCAGGGTCCTCAATCCCGAAAGGCCATCTGAGTCAATTTCTGCAAATACACAAGGCAGATGATGGAAAAATGTTTGCATTCGTGTTGAGTGGCCAAAACATGAGCAGCAAGGCAACAGTTAAGAGGGTGGCGATTGTGTTTTCATCCCAGAACATTTGAACTCGAAGCGGAGTCCATTGTACGCAATACATGTGGTGTTTTAAGCTCTTCTTAATTACTTTACATGCTCATTGTGTCTATGTGTGTGTCCAGAGATGTTTTCCATGGTACCTCTCAGCAGTGGTTGACTCAACTTGAGCAAGACTCATTAAAGTCAGGCCAGCCCGCTGCAGCTTGGGAGAAGCCTCTCGTCATCTCTGAAAGGCAAAGCTTACTGGAGTCCGACGCCTTATGCTGCAAAAAAAAGTTCCCCCTTTTACTTTGATGTGTGGGAGTGTAGGAAGGAGGGCAAAAAAGCGCAAACGTTCTCCCACCCCCCCTCAAGGCTCAGTTAGTGATGACTTTGAGCAGGAAGGAGCCACTAAAACAAGATAGCCAACATTTTTAACAGAGTTCAGACAGACAGAGAGGGTTTGCTGTTCTCTGAGGGGTTTGCAGGTTTAATTTGATCCAGAGCAGAGCTTGGCTCTTTAGTGTTGGATGAGTGTCAGAAAAATAATAGTTTGTTATTGTTCCTTTTTTGCTTTCATTTTGAAAATCTAATATATTATTATATATATTGTAATATTTTTATTACCTATTATTACCTTGTGATTATGGGTTAATAAAAGAGTCAGTAAACTCTTCAGCTTTTGAAAGTGGTCTGTGCTGATGGAAAGTTTGAATTAAAGCCATTTCTAAACTGGGAATCTAAAAGGAACTGAAAAAGTGCCTTTAGCTAATTCAGCCCTTACAGTCAGTATTTCTTTTCTTTCTTTTTTAACTTTTCGTGTCTTCATACCAACATATCAGTACATTCTCCATAGCCAACACCTTTCTTTTAATAACGTTTTTTTTTTTGTCCTATCCTCAGTCTGTCTCGTCTCTCATTGAAGAAGTGCTCTCACACTGAGGCCCACTGTAGCAAGGGGCCTATTCATGAGGCCAAGAAACAGAGAAGGGAAACACAAAGAACTCCCCACACAGCGGCCAGGGCTGAGCTCAGCGCTGACCCCTTAAGGATGTGTGTGGGCTGCACCCAGACACATTGCCCCCCTCCAATTCAGGCCCAGGCTCCTCCTCCTTCTGAACTTGACCTTTTACCAAACTCTCAAAACAACCTCAAGCAGACTTGCAATTGTCGATACCGACCAGCTGAAATAAATGCATGTCTGTGTAAGTGATTATCGGCTGGAACCGGAGAAAAATGTCCTTTCATGTATCGTACAGCTGAAGGAACAAAAGTGAAACCGTTGATTAACTAGTTGATTTAATCAGTTATAAAAGCAAAGTTTTTTGCCCAATACATTCTGTTATTAATTAAATTGGGGGAAAAAAATCTCAAAATGTCTGTTTGGAAACCTCAAATAGTTTTCTTTTGTTTTTGTTTGGTTATGTGAATTGAAACAGTCCTGGTCTTAAATCTTAGTTAATTCCATGCCAAGGAATGTGCAGTAAGATTAAAAGCATGATTTTATTTAGCTGTAAATCTGATTCCCTTATGTCTGTTTTGGGCTTTCAGTGCTGGATCAGCTCCTGATGGAGCTCCACTGCTTCCTCCTCATCCTGGACAAGGAGACCCTGAGCGGGAAGGCCACCATCCAGAAGGGCCTGCTGGCCGATCTGCTCCAGTCCTACAGAGCCTCCAACGGTAAAAGTATAGACTTATAAAACAATACTGGATGTGGGAAAGAAGAGAAAAAACACGGATGTGTCATTAAAAATGTATTTTTAGTTATTTTGTTTTTGTAAAATTCTAAGATTTGAGTCTAGAAAAACATACAATGAATTAAAGTGAGCTCATATGTTCAGAAAGCATTAACAGGTAAAGAGTAACATATCCCTTACAGCTCATAAAAGAAAGGAGATCGAGAAATATCTTTTCTATTTCTCAGTTCAAATAATTTGGTTGATATTTTAAGGACAATTTTACATATGAAAACAAAGAAAAGGAAGAAGTGAAAGGCTGGAAGTCTTAGATGTTAAAATACCTCAGTATAGAAAAGCTACATTGGGGGAAATCAGAAATCGATCACAAATTAAAGGAAGAAAAGGTTTAATGTCGGGTTGTGGACTGAGGGGTCACATGTACCGGAAGCTGTGGAAGACTTCAGTGAGACAAATCAACAAATGTTTTTCACACTCATTTACTGTGGTTACATTGTTGGCAGTTTGGCATAAAACAGGCCCTTTTGGTCTGATTTGCCGGCTTTAAACTCTCAGCGGGCCACTACACTTTAAGCTGCCTTTTTGCCTCCTCTTTGTGGCTTTTGAGGGTGCAGAATGTAAATTGCACAACTAACCTCACTTCTTTTTCTTGTGAGCATTTACACTCATAGGCAGTGAAAAGCATGCATTTACACAGTTCCGCTTAAATCTTCCTAAAGAGATGCATGGTTTGTTAAAGTATCTTGTCCAACTGCGAATGGCAGGTTTAGTTTTTTTTGTTTTGTTTTCAGAATCTGTGTGTGAAAGTGACTCAACCTTTGGCGGGCTGATGGGATTTATGTTGCCTGGACACCCAGTTAGTTACCATATGAACTGATGGAATCCATGCCTCTGGCCAGGCCATAGGTGAATGAAAAAGTTGGATGGCTGGAAAGGAACCTCAAACTTTTGTTTGGTTTTAATGAGCCAATTCTTTAACAATCTCTGTGTATTTTGGACTGAAAAAGTCAGTTGTACCTCTTTCTCAGAGAGCTCTCACACACAACTGTCCACTAACACCCCCAAGCAGTCATGATTTTCCATGTTCAGGTCTTGGACTGGTCTCTCTATACTTCCTCTTCTGGCTCCAAGCTGTATCATTTTTCCGAAGCTGCATTTATCCTCTGGGGATGCTCACTTCCTTTGCGCAGCATTTTATAAATAGCCTTTCAGCCCTTTCCCTTAAAATCTGTTTTTACTGTACAGGCAAAACATCATGTTATTCCACTGCTGTTTGGTTTCACCTCCAGATATCGATTTCAAAGGGAAATCCCTCTTCTGGGTTAGGGTTTTGTTTGATTTTCTCTCAGGGTACAATCTTAGTCAGCTGAAATATTTAATTCAATTAAATAAGCTCCCTCAATACTGGTCCAGAACAGATTCCCAAAACAGGTTACTGTAACCAGCTGGAGACAGCTTTTCTGCAACTTTAGGGTTTCATTTGCGAAAAGACATTCGAAGAGTCCGTTTCTGTGGTAAAGCCAAATTTAACTTGTAATTACTCCACTGTGTTCAGAGAGAAAAACCCAAATATAGTTTATTTCTCACTAAGCATTTATGTAAGGCTGGTATGAGGTTTCACCGTCTTGTCTCCTTGCTAAAATGATTCAGTTTATGTGTTTACTTGTCCAGCAATGTTTGCTTAAACGTCCTGAATAGAGTGAAAAAGCATCTGATAATGGCAGTTTTATTTCAGTTAAGTTCTAAGAATTTTTTGCAATTTAAACCTGTGATTAATATTCTCATCCGAGGGAGATACGTCTATGGAGTCAATGTGATACATAGAAACAACAACTTTCACTTTTACTTTCTGGAGTTAAAGTTTTTTTCCTCTTTCAGGTTTTGTGAACTTGCAAAAATCTGCGCCTATTAGTACTCTAAGGTTTTAAAAAATGTGGGTGCATTGTAATTGACAGCTTTGGATTCTGTAATTCAGCAGTGGACCAACTTAAGGAACTGCAAGATTTCCATCTTGAGTTGGATAATGCTCAAAACCTCAAAGATAAAAGTGACACAGAGCTCTATCTATGCAGGGAAGAAGGCCTCTGACTAATGTTTGATGAATGCTTACCACGGTAAGAGTGGGTAGCAGTACTGATACCATCTGTGTTCACAATGGGCTGCTTGTTTCGAAGAAGTTCCCCTTTAATCCTGGACTTCTGACAAACATCCTGAGAGTTTGTTTGGCACTAAGGTAGCATCAGGGTTTCCCATCTTTTACTACACAGGAATTCATAGGAACAATGAAGGCACAATAGTCCCATTGTGTGAATACTCCATCACATGTATTTATTTATTTAAAGTTTAAAACTCTTGAGGTGTTTCAGCTGATACACATGATTTTTAATTCATTAGATCAGAATTAGATTGAAACTTATACCTGTTCTTTTACTTATGGATCCATGTTGTCATGTTGTCATCTCGATGGCAGCATGCGTTACTCCACCATCTTTAAATACCATTAAGTGTGTATTGTGACTTCTAAGATGTGTGTTAGTCGCGCCATACCATTGAATGCTTGCTTTTGAACTGTGGTATAATAAGCCAAATGGTTCTTCTCCCCCTTAACCTGGAGACTGCAACATGTAAGATTTGCAGAAAGAATTCTAAAGTTGTTGGAATGACCAAGGCGGATCCTGATGAAAGTCATATGATGTAGTTTTACTAGAGTTTTCAGGATCTGATGGCTAAACGCAAACTAGGTTAAGTTTCCTCTCTCCTTGTAACCGGAAGTTACAAGCAAGTTACAATACTTATTTGAATTAAAGCTAACATGAATCGTAAATTAAACAAAACAGATTATGCAACCAATAACTAGTCGTGACAGTATTCATTTACTTTACTTTACTTTTTATTTAAGGTAGTGTTAAAATTGTTTCTGTGGTTGGAAAATTCCATTGTCTGAGTTTAGTTTAACCACTGTAAACTGTTAACCACTTTCTGTGTTCCCTCACATAGGTGCTGACGAGGAGTACATCTACATGAATAAAGTTGTCGCTACAGGAAAGGATAAAGATGGCAAAGGTGACCTGGCTTCTTAACTGTTGTGAAACTGTTTTAAACTAATTTTTTCTAATGATGAACATTATGTAATTTGGTATTTTGTGTTTGTCCAAGTGAGCGGAACAGCACATACTTTTCAAGTTATCGCATCTCAAGGTCAATTTACATTAAAATGAATTGCAGAAAAGATAAGCTGCAGCAAGCAAGCAAGACCCCCACTCAGCTCCCCTTCTCCCACCCACCATTTCCTGTCTGTTTCTGCGAAGCTCCTCGCCTTTTGAGACTGACCTGTTTTGTTTGGACAGTAATAAAGAATGTGGTTTGAGGGAACTGCAGACCCAACACATACTTTCAGCCGTGATGCAAGAAAAGCCGCAAGTTTTCTTGTGCCGGGACCGATGGAAAGCTGAAGTGAGAAAACTGAGAGCGTTTCAATCAGTGGAGACAGACACTATGGACTGGTGTTTTCACAAAACAGACATTTCTGAGCAGTGATTGTCTCAGTCCTTTTACAATGCGTAGTGTCTTTCGTTGGAATGCCGACAGATTATTTTCACTGCAGTTCAGTTTGTTCACCATCCCTATGATGGTATCAGAGTTAGTTCTTTATGTCCCAAACAGCACATCCATGAACTTCACTGTGAAATCCTTCTTTGCTATCCGCTTTCTGCGAAACACAAACTACCAAAACAAGCAGTAACAAGGCTCTGATCTCATCTCTTGACTTTGACCTACATAGTGACATACAAAAGGAAATCAAGGTTAGGGGGAGTAGTTCACACCCACCCACCCACAATGTGGGGCTCAGCTCAACGGCAGACAAACAATTTAACATTTTCCCATAAGATACCACAGAGTGTTTATTCTTTTAAGTTATCTTTTAATTTCTTTGATAGTAGCTTTGATAAGTATACAGAAAACATATTCAAATTTGCAGCATAATACGGAGATACAAGGCACAGAAAGACTTATGGCTGGGCCAGTGAATAGCATAGCTCTGAAATGTTCATGAAAACATGTTCTTCCTACATTCATGGATAAAGTCATACAGAAAAAAAGCTGGTTTGAATCTAATGCTGCTCCAACAACAACAACTTTTTATGGAAGCCACAGGCCTGACAGTCTGGGAGCGTGCTTATGTACATGTCACACAGTCAGCTATTTCACTGCACATTGATCTAGCTGCACCCATTATAATGCATATAGGCATATTTATTTAATTCTCAGACAACAAATTGCATATGCACAAGACATTTGTTAATAAAGTTTATGTAAAGACGTATTTCCCCGCTTTTCTTTAATCAGTAAGGTGGGCATTTCATTTGTGTAATGTGGCTGTTGCTATCATAAAAAATGCATTTACATGGTTTGAATTATGTGGTATCCGTAGTTTAACAAATAAGTCCTTTTGTACACTATGACACTAGGAAGCTCTATGGGATTGGTGTTCCATAGGAGATAGAACGTGATAAGATTAGAGAGAAACCATTTGATTGTTTTAACCTGTGTTTCAAATCAGTATGCAGACTGGATCAGAAGATCCTCTTGTGCACTGACATGCCATTTTATGCTTTATTTTAATCTAGGTGACCAATCAGATGCCCTTGTTAATGGAAAAGCAGCCAAATATGTTCCTGTGCCACAGAAGAGTCTTCCTGACCTGCCACCTCCCAGAACAGTACGTTGTTATCTGCTTATCGTACAAAATTATCTTGCCTATATAAATAATTAATGTTGCAGTGTAAACGTGACCATCATTAAGTACACATTCAAAAATAGAACCCGATCAGTATTTTGTTAGAATAAAATCTCTCCACCAGAGCTAAAGATGTTTCCCACAACCTTTAGACGCCCAAAGTCATACCTGAAGAGTTTCCTCCCACAAGAAAAAGTGTTGAACTACTTGTGGCTACCAAAGTAGCAGATTCTCAGATGTGTGTTTGCGAGCTGGGGTGTGTTTCATTATAACCAGGAGCCTGCTGGATCTTGTATTGGCCCAGTGTGATTTCAGGAAAAGGGCAGAGAAAAGGCATGAGAATTTAGACTGTCCCTTCAGTGTCTTTGAAGTTTACACTCACAGACACACATGCACAGCAGCCCCCCATAGTGTAAACTACCAAAGCAGCCGTTTCAAATTAAATCAAGTGCTTAGTGTCAGAACTTATGCCTACATGTGTGTGTGTTTAAAGATTGATAGATATGAAAGTGATTACACTGCAACAAAAAGCACATTGGGAAGTTTCAGCCTAGAGCATCATCAGATTTCCTTGCTCTGTTTTGCAATAATACCATTTATATTTCACTCCTGCATTATTTCACTGTTCTGTAAAACCTCCAGTTGTGGTATGGCCGGTCCAGTCTTGGGGAGTCTGAGTAAACATGTCCACAGTGAGCCACTTTTTGGAAATCCTTTCATCTGCCTGCGGGCCTTCCATCCATCCACTGTGATGATGTACTCGAGAGTTAACATGTGTTTCACTGTGAAGGCAGAGTCCCCTCTGATCATTGCACTGAACAGCGCCCCCTTGCTGTTTATGTAATGACCGGGCATGGCCGTCCACTGGCCTGTTGTGATGTTGTAGCAGTCCATGAGGCAGCGCAGGAAGTCGTCACACGGCCCATTTCGCATCACATACAAATTATCTCTGTGGGCTACCATACAGTGCCCATAGCTCTGAGGTCTTATCATGGTTGTGACAAGCCTCCACTCATCTTTTACTGGCACATACTCATAGATGTCTGTTGTGTCGGGAGGTTTCCAGAAGCAAACAAACATTCGCCGACGTGCTACGGCGCAGGCTGCGGATGCCACAGGTCTCGGTGCATGTCGTACAAACGTCCACTCGCCCGTCGCCGTGTCAAACCTCTCTGCTGTTGAAATGATTGTTTTCTGGACCTCCCCGCCAATGGCATAGAGCTTCCCTTCAAGCCCAAGGATGGTGAAGTCACATCTCGGTTGCTGGGGACCTGGGAGGGTGGTCCAAACCCCTGACTCAGGGTTGTAGCAGAAGCTGCAGTCCACTGGCTCCTTACCATAGCCGTGAACTCCCCCTACGATATACAGTCGGTTGTCAAGCACGACCACGCCAGCCAGGGAGGTGCTACAGAGCGTTGGGAGGTTGGTCAGGTGTTTCCACTCTGCTTCTTTTTCATCGAGGAAACAAACAAACCTAAACGAGTCGTGCAGCATCTCCATCGATGGAGAATGGGTGCCTAGTGCAACAAAACTGGCAGGAGACAACGTTTGAGAATAGTGCAGCAGCTCTTCGGGGATCGTAGCTTCTGCTGCTTCTTTGAGGTCATCATAGGCGTCACGGAGAAATAAAGCAGCGTTGTGAAAGAGCTCTTGTACGCCAAAGATGGCAGCCGCATGGTAAAGCAGAAGGCAATTATCTGAGTCTATAATGTCACAGAGATACTGGACCAGACATGCGACCTGCAGAAAAGCTGCACACTCTACAGCGTCCACAAGCTCATCAGGGTCACCGATAGTTGGACTCTCCCCCCTGCAGACAGCCAGGGCAATGAGGAAACCCCTCGCATGCACTCCGTCTTTCAGGTAGAGCTCAGTTTGCCGGCAGTCTTTCATCCCAGAGTCGAAGAGAGCTCGGAAATAGTCACTGTGTCGCACGAGAAAATCCCGCTCCAGCGCGAACCAGCTCTCTTCCACCCTCACTCTCACCCAGCCCACCTGGTGCTCTCTGTCCTCTACGCCGAGGCTCGCATTCTGTCCACAAAGACCGGGGCTGATTCCGAGGCCTTCAGGCACTTCCATGACATCTCCAACCAGGACTTATGTTGTTTTTAAATAAGGCTCCCAAGTAATAGTAATTTGGTGTATGATCAGAGTGGATATTAGCCATTTCCTTCCCTAAGACGACATGGTGAATAAAGTTCTGTGTGAGTTCCATTACCTCCTCTCGGCGTGGTCTGAAAATAGAGTTGGACTATAGATAGCAGCTGTTCTGCTTGCAAGTGTCAGGCAGAAAAAAGAAAACAGTTGACACGCACCCTAAGCGGTTATATGAGGACCAACAACTGGTCATTATCACAACCGCAGCATTATTGGCTAGCAGGCGTTTATGCTGAATTATTCATGATCATGCATCTGTTTCAGTGTGGATTGTTTTAAGGTACTTGTTAAATTTCACAATTGTGGCTTTTCTTAAAGTTTTGTCTAAGTTGGGTACTTGTTAAAGTTTATGACTTCCAATTTCAGACAAAAACTTGAGTGAAAATCTAAAGTGTTTAGAGGAGGTCAAACCGTTCCCATGAAGGAAAAATAATGGGAGATAAATGCAGCATGTGCCCAGTCATGTGAGTTTTTGTCTCTCCTTCTGTCTCCTGTGGTACAGCTGACCATCTCATTTCTGTTTTCACTCATGCTGTTTTGTAACCAGTAACTTTGTAAGCAACTGAAACACAGCAAGATTTCTCCTGAGAGTTTCTCTCAAAAGCTGGGTTGCACTGATAATTTTTATCACTACCTTCCCCTGTGCTCTGCAGGCTTTCTCAGTGATACCCTACGTGTGTGTGTGTGTGTGAATGTTTGTGTGTTTTGCTGTAGTAGATTCCTGGCATGGGAACTAGGGATTTTCCATGTTCCTCTGAATTTTTCGTTTTTGGGCTCCTGTTTCCACTCTTGCCTAAAAGCCCCTCTACCACACCCATAGTCCTCCATGACCAACCCCTTTTCTTGCTTTTTTATTAATTCTCTGACTCGTCAGTCCATTCCATCCAGTAAGTGTTTCTGTGGAGAGGATGTGTGTGTGTGAGAGTGTGAAGTGAAAGGAAGGAGCTAAAGTGTCTATTAAACAGTTGGAGGGACAGCAAAGCCTTCTTTTGGGCAAAAAGTGCACATTCTTGGCACGGCCTCTTTTCTTTTTCCTTGTGTTTTTTATCAGTACACTGTACTCCTCTTTAGCCTGAACCGACACAGTAAGGAGACTTAGTTTTTTGAAGATGAGTGAAATGGAAGAAGAAAAAGGGAGAAAATATTGAGATAAGAGTGGGTGGGCAGTGAAGGGGGTTGCTGCTGCTTCTCTGGAATGCCTGGTTTTTTATTTTAATTAATAACAGATGTCTTAGCTTTTTTTTTTTTACTTTGGAGCTTTTTGTGTGTGTTTAATCTGTTTTCCAATCGCACAAGGTGGGTGTGTCTGTTAGCAGGAGCAAAATACATGTCCTATAAATCATCACATTTAATGGCACAAACAAAATTTAGGTTAATTAAGTTGTAGTTATTTTAAAGGTTAACATACGGTCATGTGAAAGGCAATTATATCAGTTCTTTATCAAAATAAAAATCCCCCTAAAAAATTAAATAAAACCATATTTGTCCCCCTTAAAGTGTGGCGATTGCATTTCTCTCCCACACATGACTATGTGGAGTCTTTCCTTCACGATCTGCCACACAGACTAATCACACAAACACATCTTCGTCACTGTAGCTGTGTGCAGACTGTGACATGACGCCAGTTATTATGACAGCTTACAGCATCTGCTCCCCATTACTGGAAATGAGTTGAGATTAAAACCATGATATGATGGGAAAGCTCACAAACAGGGACATGCTTGTTTACTGGGAATAATGGGACAGTCTCTGACAAGTCTCATCAGAAATAATGTTTCTGTGTGACTTGTTAATCCTTCTTGTGGTGTTGTAAACTTCAGCTGAGTCAGCAAATCTGCTATTAATCTAAACTATGTTTTAAGAAAGTCTAAATTCATATGCAATTTCTAACTGTACTCTCAGATTCACTTGTTACAGAGTAAACATAGCCAAATATACACCTTTGGGCTCCCCTGTTCTAAAGGTTTTGGGTTGGTATCTCAGTATAGTTGTAGAAGGCAGCAAGTCCATATTTGCATATCTCTCGTCTTCTTCTTGTTACTGTAGATACCAGACAGTTTGAAACTTGTAGTTGCAGGTTGAAGAGATTAAGATAGTTTTCTGATTAAGAAAATGACATCATAGGGATGAGAGGCAGTGCGTACAGCATAAGCCTGATGAAATGATAGTCATTCCAAAGAGATCTTTATATAACTGTATGCCAGTTAGCTGAGAGGTTGTCGCATGTATAATGGCTTTAAAGAGTTGAGTCATTTTGAATTTAGGTGTTGGAAGAAAAACAAATCTTTATACAGAATAACTATGACTGTATTTTTCTGATTAAAAGAAGATGATTCATGGCTTAACTGACTCCAGATTTCCAGAGACTGTCCACAGAAAGCTCACCAGTAACCAGTTATGTCCAGATATGACCCCCTAAAAGAAGCTAAATTGAAAAAGGCTACCCTAATGCCTCTATTAGCTCAGAAATTAATGGTATTTTATGTTAAATCAATCTGATACTCAAACATCAAACCTCACACAAGTAATCTTAGAGACAGTAATCTCTGAACTTGCTGAAAAATATGGATCTTGTCAAACTTTCTTAACCATAATACAAATGTCGGAGACTTAGTTTATTAATACATCAAATTTTCTGGCCGTTCTGCACACTAATATTCCAATGCATCTTGGATCTTCAACACTCTTTAATAAAACAATCTTCAACATAGGGGTATTATTCTCTATTCTTCTTTGTTTATAGAGTTGCATGTTAAATCTGTAAAGTTTTTTCCATTTTGACTTTTACTTGAGGTCAAATGTTTTCATAAAATGGATGGAGCGAGCCTCATGCTTATGCTTCTTATTATGTTCAGACAGGATTACTGCAATTCATTATACACTGTAATGAGCCAGGTTCTTAAAATGGTTCAACTGGTTCTGAATGTAGCAGTCGAAGGTTTTTAATCCCACTTATAAATATGAAAAAAAACATCTGGCAACCACAACGTTAACAGCACAAGCAGGTAATAACATTTTTTCGATACAGTAAAAAGCTTAGCTGGTAACGGTAGTGTCACACGGTTCACATGGATGTCACTGCAGTGCTGTGCTGGTGGCAGACTGATGAAGCCCTTTTTCTTTGCACAACCTTGACATTTTTCCGCTAATCTTTTTTTTTATCTTGAAAACATCTATTTTTTCTGTGCGCTTTTGGATGCTGTCCTGCTGGAACCGTTTCTGGTAGCACTGACACTTTTTTGTATTTGTTATGATGCATCCCCATGGCAATGGGAAATTATTTGCATGTGAGCAGCTTGTGAAAACGGAGCCGTTTTCCCCCTCTGTTTTCTGTTGAGTTGGGCTTTCCCAATTAGGTGTAGATTGGTGGGCCTATTTAAGGGGCAGACTCACAATGCCAGGAAGGAGCTTGCAAGGAGGCTGCTGGAGGAGGCTGCTGGTGGTTGGTTGGTGAGAGTGCTCTAAAAAAAAAAACTATAGTTGATGTCAGCTTGCAGTGAGGCTGTAATTTCTTTGTATTGCCTGCAATGGCCGGTTTTGTTTTCTTTGTTTGAAAGTATTTTTTTTTGTTTTGTTTTTTTTGTCTTCACCATCGCACCTGTAAATAAACCACAACACGTTTTCACTGGAACTGTCGTCATCTGGTTCTTACCACCTTTTTGTAAGTCCTCTACGTACTCCTCCTCTAACGTGAGACAGGGGCTGGCGAGCCGCTTTCTCACACAGCTGATTGGGCTTTTAAAAGTATAAGAAGTTCAGTTGAGGGGGAGATGTTTATGACGTAGATCAGAAACGAAAGACAGAAAAAGCAGGAGAAGAAATTTAAATACTTATACATCAGGAATATATGGACCTCACTGAAGCAGTCATGGGGATGCGGTGGGAAGTGGATTTATTTATTTTTGTCATGAGATTGGGCAATGGGAACAACAGATAGAGAGCACAGGCAGAGACTGAACTGATTACAGATTACATAATCTTGACCATCACTGCGCCTCTGCTCCCCAGATGTTGATCTGAGGGTTGCGAGTTCCTGTCATTGTTGTCCTCTGAGAGTGGATATTCATCAGCTAAGCTGTTTCCAAGCCACAAAAACGAAACTCCAAACTGCAACTTCAATAGTTTTGGTTGTCTTTCCCTCACAGGCGATGTCAAGAGAAACAGGAATTAAACTAGACTATTAAACGTTGTCAGAAAATAAGTTTTAAGGAATGAATTTAATTAATAGAAACGTCATCTCCTGTTTTAACTCTTTGTCCATATTCTGCTCATCTTCCAGGGAGTTATGAGCCGGGAGCCATTCCCTTTACCTCCATTTCCTGCTTCTGCCTGTATAGACCCTGCAGAGAGTTACTATGAGGAGGCTCAGCCCTACGAGGAAGCGATCAACGGTAAGAGACACCGTTAAACGTTTTGAGTGGAATAAAGAGTCCACGTCTATTTAGTGACATCAAGTTGCAAAGGTGCAGAATGCAATGAATTTAAATCACCACCACCATCTCTCTGGCAATTAACCACAGTGCAATTAAAAAATCTTTGAGATATGTTTTTGGGCTAGTGTGTACTCTGGTTAACAGTGGTAGATTTCCTGTTTAACCAGTTGCTATTATTTGATATAGGCAGAACATGGAAAGGAAAACATTTATTTTTACACTTCTGAATGATTTGCTTTCCCTTTATCTATGGTGTGTGGGATTAATAAAAGATCATAATTATACAGAGCATTAGCCCAATCACCAGACATCTTTGTGAATACAAAAATTCTTGTTTGATTTTAAAATGTTTTCTATTCGTCTTTGTAAAATCTCCTTTTCAATTTTGCCTCTAGTATTTTGTTTTTTCTTCTTCTTCTGATTTTCTGCTTTGATGCTGTTTAGATCCAGAGTGTTCTGGCCTCCTCTCGGGGCCCTGGATACAAGTGCACAGCTCTGACAGTGTGATCTATGCTGTTATCACCAGGGGTAGCTAGGATTTCTGTATCTGTGTGTGGCATGCCTGAAAGGGTCTGAGATCTAAACCAAACGTTGCATGAGCGAAACCAGCATGACCACACTTTGGCATGTAAAGAACCAACCTCCAGTCAGAACAACCACCATTAATCAGTTGGCTGAACTGATCCTTTTTCCTCTCATCCTAACTGGCTATCCTATTGTTGGCCAACATTCATAAATATTAAAGATGTGCTTACCTATTTGGACATCCCATTCCATTCAAGAGGGGGCAGAAATTATTATGATCCTCTTTAAGTCCTACAAACCCATCCAGCATCAACAGACCATTTGAGTCTTTGCTTTTCATCCCTTGTCATTTTATTTTTTTTTAAAGGTGTCCTCTGCAGCGTTGTAACTGTTGCCTCTTTTTTGTGTTTCTCAGATGACGGAGAGGCTGTTAGCAGTTCGTACGAGTCCTATGATGAGGAAGAAGTGACCAGGGAGAAGTCACCGTCCGCTCAGCACCAGTGGCCATCAGCAGAGGCATCGATCGAGCTGATGAAGGACGCTCGCATCTGCGCCTTCCTGTGGAGGAAGAAATGGCTCGGCCAATGGGCCAAACAGCTGTGTGTAATCAAAGAACATCGCCTAATGGTAAGTGAAAGACAGACCTAAAATTAAACACCCATTTTGTGTTGAACATTGTGAGAAATGTCATTCTTACAATATGGACCCAGTTCCAAATCCTACTGAGACTGGTATGAGTATCATTATGTGAATTTTTATTTTCTTATATACCTCAGTCATCTTGTTTTGTTCATGTTACAAAAGAATTCAGAGATTGATAGTGCTTTGTTGAGCTAACTGATTTGAGAGGTGGTCCGTGTAAATAAATCTAGGTGGGGCACAGGGTATAAAGTTTAAGGGTATGCTAGTTATAACAGTTAACAACTGTTAACATAACAGTTTTTCATGTTAAGAAAACACATTTTAAGTACACTGTTGAAAAGCACACATGGAACAGGTTTGAATTGACTGAACCAATTACTGAAGGTTGTTAAATAAGAATCAGATTACGGCTCTTCTTGAAAACATAACATAGTATTATGACTATTATGGAATTTTCTCACAAAATTTCAAAGTTTTGCAAAGACATAAAGTTACTGCACCCTATCAAAAACAGGCTGTCCATGTGTGATGCACATGTTAGAAAGCATGTTGACCCGCTTAGCAGAGCCCTTATCAACCATTGCAGAATTGAGTTACCATGTTTTCCTTGCCTCTCTCTCAGTGCTATAAGAGCTCTAAGGAGCAAATGCCTTTGTTGGATGTGAGTCTACTGGGCTGCAGCGTGGTTTACAAAGAAAAACAGTTAAAGAGAAAAGAGCACAAGCTGAAGATCATTCCGGTCGGAGGGGAAGCCATCGTGCTGGGCCTGCAGAGCAAAGAGCAAACTGAGCAGTGGCTGAAGGTGAGCTATTTGGTGTTGCCAAATTGTTTTCCTGTCATTTGTGGATGATTTTCTTAGAAAAGATACAAAGGATGTGCACCTCTTTATCCACTTCAGGTTATTCAAGAGATCAGTCCCAAGCCAACTGAAAACTGTGACCTCCCACATCCTGTGTCTGACTCCCCAAGGCTTATTTGCACTAAGGTATCATTATTTTAGCCTTTTCTTTCTTTCTTTCATTATCCCAATTCCCATCGCTGAAATCTGATAGACTTTGTACAGAAAGAAAAAGTTTCTTCCAACATTTTTTAAAAAAAATTTCTGCATGATATGCTTTTGAAACCATTTAAAATGTAGATATTAAACACACAGGGAGAGCTGAATGAGAGGTGCTCAGTGGCTTCAGAGAGCAGCAGCAGCACAGACAGCCATGCTGAAACATCAGAAAACAAAGATGGTGAGTGACCTCGAGAAATTGTAATGGGGTTTCTGTCACTACCTGATGTGAGTAACAGGTCCATTTGAGATACTCTCGCTCAGATAGGGCTTTTACTTTTACTTAAGTCAGATAATTCACCCTGCTCCTAATGCTGCATAACTATAGACAATCTAAATGCTTCTATGATGGTCACACCAAAATTGCATACGGTTTGCAACAAATATGTTGTCTCTTGTTTTGTCTTGAATCCACAGTGAAGAAAAAATATGGCGCCGGTTTGATGTTCAGCAACCTGATGAACATTGGAAAGAAAAAAAACTCCTCACTAGAGAGCCAGGAAAAATCTGTTGACACCTCAGGTAAAACTTTATCCCCAATTATTAGAATAACTGCAACGACAGGTGGGTCGCACAACTGCTGGTTAGTTTTTTGAGTGGAGCTTCGTGCAGTTTACACAACATCAAACTCATGCCCTGTTCATGCTACAAACCCATCTCGGGTATTTGGCTTTTGGCATTGAGGGATCTCCTTTCAAGTTAACTGGACAGATGATGGGGATACCCAACCCCCCTCCATGTTCAGGTGGCGAGTCTACAGAGGGGAACTTGCATACCTAAAATTTCCAAGAATGCCTATAAAATATTTATGGGAGTCTAAAAACCAAATCCTGTTGGATAGAAAGTTGACAAATGTTAAGACTCCAATCTGTTCCAGCCCTCTTGCATACTTCCATACTATCTTATTTATATAATAGTAAATACCACAAGATGAAACGGGTGTCTGATGGTTACACTGTCTTCTCCATCCTCCCTCAGGTTACTTAAATGTACTAGTGAACAGCCAGTGGAGAACCTGCTGGTGTCTTATAAAGAATGGTAAGCTGTGGTTTTACCAGGACAAGGGAAAGAAAGTGAGCCAGCCAGCTGTGACCCTCGAGGGCTGCAGCGTTCTGCCTGACCCCAGCCCTGAGCACCTCTACTCATTCAGGATTGACATGGATGGCACGCAGCTGGCGACCCTAGAGGTACACAAATAATGCAGTTCCTGTTCTTTGGAAAGCCACGTTCTGTTTGTTGAGGTTAGAATTGCATGAAAGTGCTCCGACAGTGTTTGATGGGCCACACCAAAGGGAAATTTAATCTTCACTATCCCTACAGTAGAGTTAGTTTCAGTGATGTGGGAGTTGACTGTGCTTAAGCAAAGTATTGAAAATAGATTTCTGATATGTGGTGCATATGCAACATGTTTCCTGTCCTCGGTGCATGCATACCTCAGATGACAGTTTACCTCAGTCTCACGGTGTATTTTGGACTTCAGAGAAATATGCTGAAATGCAAAATGTCCACCGATTGAAATCCCTAACACTAACACGTCCTTTGAATCTCACTTTCTGCTGACTTCAGACTCAGCCGTCATAATATATGTCTGCTCACAGGGGTGGTCTCACTGCTTATGTGCATGAAGGGTGTGGAGACACTGGGATTTTGTGGACTAATGCTACACCCTTTTTCATTAGTCCTTCAGTACCACCCATCTGAAGCACATATTTGGTCATCGACAATGGAATTTTGTGTTTAGTCTCGAGGGTTCTTTCTTTTCTTTTTTTTTTCTAATCCAAAACTGTTACACAGAAATGTTACACAGAGAGGTGTGTAATAGTCACAACTCTATTATATGCCGAGAAAACTTTTAACTGAAGGTCTCTGACTAATAAAAGGCTCTAAACATATGACCTGTTGCCTTTTATTGGAAAAAAAACTTAAATGTATCACTGTTACCATATCATTGCTAATTTGCTGTAAGCCTCTCCTAATTCAGACACAGATATTTACAGAAATGAAGAGCGCTTCTTACAAACAATGCTGTTGCAATCACTTCATTAACTGAAAGTGAAGAATGCCGTGCAACATAAACCCATGAGGATTTAAACACATGATGTTGCAAGTGCTTGTTTTGCTCTGAATCCACAGTCTTTGTTTTCCTCTCCCACCCCCTCCCAGGCGAAGACATCGGCAGATATGGGTCACTGGCTTGGCCTCTTGCTGTCACAGACAGGGTCCAAAACTGACCCGGAGGAGCTGACGTATGACTACGTCAATGCTGAAAGGATCTCCTGCATTGTCAGCGCAGCAAAGACCTCCCTATAGTAAGTCAGGTCTTACAGTGAGGATACACAGCAAGTCAAAGTGACGCTGTACAGCCTACTAGAATGAGAACTGAGATGCCTGTTCTTGTATGTCTAAAGCTTGATGCAGAGGAGGTTTTCAGAGCCAAACACATATATAGACACCTTGCCTTCCATTTCTCAAAATTCGGATGGGCTGTATGATGACGTGGCATCTATAGCTGATCCCGAGGTAAGCGTGAAAGATGAGGAGACCTGATATATTTACTTTCTGTTTCCAGTTCAATTTAAACACTAATTCACTTCATCTGGCTACTTTCCACCCCGAACATCCTTTTCCTATACCAAACAGGATGCTGAGGAGAACAGCCTCCCACAGTGTGAAGAAAACAATCACCTGGAACATGACCAAATATCCTCACAAGATGCTCCTGATCCAGCAGATACCAGTCAAGATGCAGAAAACAAAATTTACCTGGACCTTATCCCTGTGCGCTCTTTTCTTCATACATCCCCTGGGAATAAATTACCCCCTGCAAAAGAACCTCTGATCCAGTCTCCAATCCAAGTGGAGGACCAGAGGGAATGCTCCTCCCAAAATAAAGAGGTAAGTTATAAGAATCTATTATTGTGTATCTAAATAATGTATTTAAAGGAGGACACCATTATGACTATATGTAAATATGCACCAGTTGTAAATGTCATTGCTAAGTCCCACAAATATGTAGGACAATAAATTATCTAAATGCCAGAAACCCATATTGCTTATTATTTTACATTACTTTTCTGCTCAATGCCATGGAAAGATGATGCTTCACAGATTAAAACATTACATCCCTACATCGAACTATCTTTGAATGAGAACAAATCTTCCATACATGTATCATATTATCAATTAAATCATCTGTCAGGACCTTTCCTATTCACAGCAGAAGAATTTGTATCCACATGTCAGTATTATAATGCCCGAGGTCTTCACCACAAATGTTCTGAGCAAAGTGTGTCAATTTCAGATAACTTCAACCAGCTGTAATGAGCCAGAGTCAACAACTGTATTAAATGGGCTTAATTCGCCTTCCGCCTCCAACAAACCAGAACAACAAGCACCCCAGAGTCCCGCTCCACCACACCTGCAAAGTTCACCTGTCAAGACCCCATTCCAAAGCCAGGAAACGCCTAAGAAAACCAGTCTGGAAATCCCGCAGGCCTTTAGCTCTCCTGGGACACAAATCCAGAAGGGTCAGGTCGCTCAGACTGCTGCTGCGGTCACACATCCTCACAGCCCCCAACCCGCACGGCCAAAGGCACATACCGTAGGTCAGTACCAACAGGGACGGTGGATTCGGTGCATATTGTATCAGTTATATAGCTGATGATGCAGTACTCACCACCACCTAAGTCTTTAGAGTTATTTCCATGAGTCAGAAACTCCAGCTTTAGTTTCCTTGATGTGTACTCCTGTTCACATGGCTCCCTCTAGTGACTAATTGTGTCCTTTACAGCTAATGTCATTGTGGTTTGTTGTTTTTTTGTAATTAATCTTTGTTTGTCTTTTAGCATCAAATGATTGTCAAGTAGAAATATTTTTCCCTGTTGAATATGGATGACTTTAAACTATTTACGCCTTATTTCCAGGGTGTACTGGCTCTTTTGAGGTAAAGCTCGGCAAAAATCGCACAGAGGCCGATTTGCGCCGCTACTTGGACGAGCGAGATCGTCTGGAGAAAGAGAGGGAGGAGGTGAGGAGCAGCCTGGCGAAACTAAAGAAAGAGAGGAGGGAGACCAAAGAGGAGCTCAGCACGTGCCAAGGTACATCTACGTGTCATCACTGCTGCCCACGGCTGTTGTCAGGTTTTACGGGGATGGACATGACAGCCAGCTTTCTGTTATCCCTTAGATCCAAAGCAGCAAGCCTCACTGGAGGCCTGCCTGAAGCAAAAGGAAGAGGCGTGTCGAGAGGAGGAGCATCGCAGGGTAGAAGTGGAACTTTGTTTGGTAGAAGTGAAAGAAAGCCTAAAGAAAGTGGAGTCCGGACCTTTCACCCTAGGAACCACATTGGACAGCAGCCTCCAGGACACACCCATAGTCAGTTTGTAGTTTAGTTTTTTTTCTAAATGTGGAAATGGAAATATGTAGAAATCCTCTAAATTGAGAATCCTCACTTTATAATTTCACCTTTTGTTTGTTTTCTCCACAGCCTAAAGCAGCAACCTTGCCCAGCCCTCAGTCATCATCATCATCGTCGTCTAGCCAACCCTTGAACAGCAACAGTGCTGATTCAGCCTCACCGGTCAACTCTGCCTCCGCCCTTAAGAACAGGCCCGTGTCCATCATGGCCACGAAAGGCAAGGTCCTTCAGAAAGCTAAGGTGAGACTTGATTTATTCCTCACTGGAACATCATGTGTAAAATAGAATGAAGCTCATCTTTAAATATTAAGACGTTATATTCGATACAATTTCTGTCACTTGTTTCATTTAAAGGAATGGGAGAAAAAATCAACCACCTAGAAGGATCCCCTCCCCACAACCCACAAGGTCAATCTTCTCCTGCATCCATGATGAAGAGTTTAACCCTTTTCTCCATGGATCCTTCATCAATATCAACCTCTTGCCAAGACTATAAAGGACCAATCAGATAGAAGAAAGAGCTGTGTTCTTGAATACCACTGGATATTCAATATAACTCAATGACTGAGTTCTTTTTTTATTTGACATAAAAGGAATTTGATGTTAAAGCGTTTTGGTGTCTGGTTTGGTGACCACATGCAAACTTTTTAACAATGCAGACAACCAAACATTTGAAACCACTGATTTCTGAGAAAGAAAGAATGCCCTCCTCTAAATTGTCCATTCTGTACACTTAAGATTGTAGCTTGGTTCATGTATGCTGTTTGCCAAGATGTAAATATATATCTACCCCATTATTCAGCCATTTGGCTTGTATTGCTAGCTAAAGTTGCACTTTTTATTCAAATAAAAATGTACTGACAAAGAAAAAGGCCTCAAGAGTTGTTCAGAATTTGCTTTTACCTCCACATTTTCCATTTTGTTTGTTGGAAACAAGTGAACAAAAAGGTGAATAAAAAGGCATTTACAGTACAGATAAAGTGAATTCTACCAGATTAAAATAAACATGTATGATAAAGACTTAATTTTCGCATTCTGCCTTGGTCATAAAATTAAATAACCCACTATTTTATTTTGCAAACACATTTAAGCTTCTCAGATGTCATATAAGGTGAATAATTCTAGCTTGATTACCTGGCCCATGCATGTGTTTGTACTCATTGCACAAAATATTATTAACCTGTGCTTAGATGTATGTGTCTAAGGCTGGCACAAAATTGGCTTTACTGAGTTGGGCTATATGATGAAAGTATGAGAAAAACTGCTCACGTTGCAGTTTTTGGCAGCACAACAAAACAAAGCTGTGCTGATTTTACATTAGGAGGAATTTGTAAAACCATGACAAGGACATAATATTAAACTTCACACCCATAAACAGCCGAGAGAACAATGCTGAAACAGCTATGAGAGGATACTCATAAATGGAGCAAGACCAAGCAAAGATATGTATAAACACAGCAGCGGAGGCAGTAGAGTAGAGACACTTGCTTACACTGAATGTAACTTAAAATACTGAAAAAGCACCCCAAACCATACCCCCCCTCCCCTCATGTACCTGCAAATATTCATGGATCTGAAGGGTTCACACAATTTGTTCATGCCAATATTTTATGAGTCTTGTAAATCAGGCAGCATGTCTCCGACGGTGTAGTTTGTAGTGATGCAGAAGCTCCTTGTGGCTCTTTCTCTGTCTGCTCTTCTTCCTCTGGCCAGATGGCCTCGGAAGATCACCTCTGGATGAGGGCTTCGTGCTTCCTGCAAGCAAATCACAAACCATGTAACAACCCCACCAAGAAATAGAATCTTTCTTTAGGCGAACGACTGTTGCTAATGCTGTACATGCTCAATATTTGTCATTGTATTGTCATTAGCAGGATCTGACAAGATCGGCTCCAAAAAAGTGATGCCATTACTTCAAAAATGTATATATGGCAGTAGAAGAGTGGAAGCTTTTAAAGATAAGATCTCCTTCTTTGTCTTACATCTAAACAGACACACACACTCAATAAAAAATAGGCAAGGAGACTTGAATAATTGAGTGTACTTGTCTCGCAGTGGGGTCCTTCATAGCCTTGACACTGGCACCGGAAGCTCCCTCCTGACAGGATGCATATCCCATCATGCATACATGGGTTGGGCTTGCACAGATTTACAGGTTTTTTTACCTCTGAAAGAAAGAAAATGATCATAAAGCAGCTTGTTCTATGCACGTAAATCAAATAGGCATAATGTCCATGTTTCTTACCAAACCATCTATTCGTTTTTTAGTTTGTAAATGACGCAAAGGACAGTAAGATCAAAGAACTTTGTTGATTTAAAGAGAATAACTTTATTTTTTTTACCTGAACAAAGCATCTGAACCAGCACATCCTCAAAGTATTTGAGATCCTCGTACGACGGGACTGAGATCAGGTGCTCCTCCGAGCCAGCGATCTGCATCAGCTTCTCTCTCTGTACATCTCCGATGCCCACCACAAAAACTGAAACTCCGTTGTCTCTTAACTTTTGAGCCGGGACAACTGCATCATCGCCTCCTGAGCCGTCTGTCACCACCACCACCGCCTTGTTGACCCCTTGTCGGGCTCCATTCGTCACCGTCAGGACATTAGAATGGATGTGGAGTAAAGCTGCGCCTGTTGATGCAACGCCGCCCTTGTAGTTGGCTTCGCCTACGGCTTTGAGGATGGCAGAGCCGCTGTCGTGGACGTCCAGGCCGAAGACAGTGGTCGCTCTCCTGCCGTAGGCCACCAGGGCCACTTGAGCCACGTCGCGGTTGATGTCAAACTGGACGGTCAGGCTGCGCACAAAGTCCTGCAGCGTATCAAAGTTCTCCCGGCCAACACCAGCGGAAGCATCCAGGGCAAAAACCACATCTGCCGCCTGACCCAGACAACCTGAAAACAGGACACACACACACACAAAACACCTTGTCAGAAGCTATATTCCATCAGCCATCTCGCACAAAACATACACATCTCATCATTCCAAGAGAGGGGACAAAGAGGGAAACTATACTGTCCATATGTGTAGATTAGTTTCAACCACAGCTACGTTTAACAGGGTATGTTTTGGGTTTGTGTTGCCATTCACACAAATTCCTTTGACCTAAAGATGGCACCAAATCACCAAGAAATGCAGCTAAGAGAAGACAGAGACCAAAGGCAGCGAGAAACAGTTTAAATGTTTTAAATGTTTTGCAAAGTTGAAAATTCAGTAATCACATGTCCCCTCCGAGGCATTCTTTTGAGCACTAGACATAAACATGAGACCAAATGAAGCCTTCTCTTGGTTATTCGGTACCTTGTGTATCCACGCTGCAGATCTTGGCCTTGAGCTCAGGTATCTTTCCGGTGAGCCTATCCGGGGATGTGTAGGTGAGAGTCCTCTGGGGATTTCCTGTGACATTATTCAGCTCCGCCTTCAAGCCATCTGGACCCACCCCTACGATGAAGATCTCTCTATCTCGCGCATATTTAGAGGCCTCGACCACATCGTCAACGGCGGGCGTGGCGGTGAGCAGCACCACCACGCGGGGAAGGTCGTCGGAGATGTCAGCGAAGACCGGCTCGCTCACAAAGCCGTGGCGGGTAACGTGGCGGAGCGCCTGCCCTGTCAGCGTCCGCCCACCGACGGGTTGAAGCGCATCCACAGCCTGGAGAAGCCCCTTCAGGTTCCCTTTGAACTTCCCAACCAGGGCCTCGACTTTTGTCTCTCCACCGAACACCGCCAGGCCGACTTTGCTGGGGCTGTCAGTGGCAATCACGGTCTGCAGGAAGCGCTTTAAGAAGGACCGGAGGCGGAGGAAGCCCTCCAAAGTGAGCGTAGCAGAGCCCTCGAGAAGGAAGAGCAAGTCCAGAGAGCAGTCCAGCGATAATGCAGGAGCTGTGGAGGGAAAGAGGGGTCAGTTTATTGTTTTTTGTTGTTTTTTTACAGCGTTAGATTGGACATCAGATGAAGACACAGCCAGGGAGAGTACTGACCGCAATGTGGGTCTCCTCCGTAGCCAGGTGGACACACACAGCGGTAGCCCTCTGAAGCTTCTGACACACATGTGCCACCGTTAAGACAAGGCTGAGAGTCACACGGATCTGTTCACGAGGACCAGGCAAAATGACAGTAAGGGTGATCAATACCAAAGAACAAAAATGCTGGGAAGAGGAAGAGGATGAGGTTGTTACCTGGACAGATGGTCCTGTGGCAGACTGTAGGGTGTTTCTTGTAGACCTTGTTGTACCTAAAACAATTAAAAGTAAGAAACAGTGTCCAGATGATCTCTTTGCTGAGGGAAAACATATTGTTTTGCTAAGGTAAATTTAGGTTTTTATTTGCTGTCTCTCCATTTGTCTAATTAAACTGTGTTGGAATAGCTTTTTTATTTAAGCGCTGGTTCTCTAAATGGAACTAGGCCATTTTTCTGTAGTTCAGCTTTGATGTTCTGTGAAATTAATTTTGCCAAAGCCCATTTAGTTTGCCCCAAGGGGGATTGACAAAATTATACAAGCTTGTTATTTATTGGGTCTTTATTTTCTCACACTGACAGGACATTTACATATGAATTGTAGTGCTCTATACCTTACTTGAACACTTTAAACACTTTAACTTTGCTGTTATTTGGCACTCTCCCTGAGCAGCGATTGCAGTTTCAGACGATGCGGTTCTGTGGCCTCCACAGCTGGGGGGTCTCGGAAGGCTGAACACCAGTACCAAAGGTTTCCTTTGCATTTAAAAAAAAATGATCACCTCACCCGTGACAGATTTTAATTTAGCAAAGGTTGAGCATAGACATTGCAACAACCCTTGGAGGAATTGCAATCATAACTGCAAACAACAGCACTGCCGAGATTCCAACATACTTTGTCCACACATGCACTGCACGCCATCTGTTTGAGCTTTTACAGTCAGCTAGAAGGTGCAGCTTTAGAAGGTACACATCGCCAGAAGAATCCTTGTAACTCTGAAATGTAACTATTAAACTACAGTAAACAGCTTTCGAAGTGTGACATAAACTGTCAGCAGCACTCATCTAAGCAAAATGTCTGTGTACGTGCTTTCAGTGTGGCTTAACCGTCCCTCTTTAACAATAGATTCAGAAAGTATTTACACCTATGAAAACTCACATTTTTCGAATATATATTCCGTGTGCACCTCAAACATTTCACAGCAAAAAGAATGCCACAAAATTGTATGTATGTGCCTTTAAATGATTCATTACGCCTCTTGCATTCTGCATCGGTAAACTAAGCAGTGCAAATATTAGTCAGAATTGTAACTGTGTTAAAGAAATAATAAGAATTAAACAGAAAATACTTTTTTATGTTTTGGAGGAAAAGTAAGTACTTGTCTTCCTACTTTCATCAGACGTACCTGTAGAAGGGGCAAAGGGATGTATATGGGGAATATCCTTTGGAACCTTTCCAGCACATAAAGTTTCCCTGGAGTTCCTTCACTGTTTCCAGTGTCCTCCTTTCACAGGGAAAGGACTCTGCCTGGCAACCTGAAGAACAACACAGGACAAGATGCTTGGGATTGGCAATGGAAAGAGAAGGGCCTTTTTCTAAAATAGCAAAGGCCATAGGGAGAACTCCCACCTGCAGGTGTAGCATTGCAGACAGAGAAAGAGCTCAGCGTTGTGTACAGGCCATTGATGGCGTCATAGAAATGCTCAGCAAAGAACACATGACTTTCCACTGGTTCACTGGCAAGGGCATGCAGCTCTTCCCACCTGGAAAAATAACAAACCCAATGTTTGGAACTGCATTGTCAAGAGCCAGAAGAATGTTATATCTTGATATTATCAATGGTTATTTTCCAACCAATCAACCATACTTGGGGTAGCGTAAGCCAATAGCGAATAAGATCATGCCCTTCTCTTTTAGCTGTGCAGCTGCTTGGACCACGTTGCCCTGTGACCGCCCATCCGACAGGAGGATGACGATCTGGGGGACACTGGAGGAGTTCCGACCCCCTGGAAAACCCTTCCTCAGAATGTATTTCAAAGCCAGGCCTGTCTGGGTGCCCCCACCCCTGAAAGTTTTCAGAAGCATTTCTCATGTTAGCACAAGAGCAATCATAAAACAAAACAATTATAGTCGCCCTGTGCAATGGAGGTAAGAAGAACCTGCTGCAAAATACAACTAAAACAATCCTAAATTTAAGAAAAGGTCAACTTTTGTGAGATCAAAAGCCCACTAAATGGGCTTAGAACACATGGGGAAAAAAGAAGAACCAGTAAATAAACATGATCAGGAGATGCTACAATCTATTCTGGACCAAAGCTCATAAATGAACTGAAGCAAATAGAGAAATAGTTTGAAGAATGATTGCATTGTGTTTTTATTTACATGTAACACAGCATTGACTCTTTTTGGAATTAAAATCCCGAATTAAATGGATTTCATTCAAGCTTGGCTCTATACTCTCAAAACATGTGGTTTACCTTTACTCTGAAACTAATTTGATTTTTCCATTAAGAGTTAGTTTCCAATTGCTTACCCCCCTGATGTGAGCAGATAAGTGGGTTTTTAATGAGAGCTTTCAAACAAAGCTACAGGAATAAACATAAAAATGTGGCCTAATCTAATCATTAAACATAATGAGTTTAAAAAGGATTGTTTCTCTAGGAAAATATCTCACTGTATGACTTCAAATAACTGTTTAAGAACATTCATTTTTACATAAACATATTTTCCATCAAGTAAAGAGTCCTGAAAAAGCCATATTATGGTCAAAAATATTGTTGAACTTATTCAGAGATCATGATCATCACAGTTTTTTAAGGCAAAGGGGGACACAGACCTGTAAGAAATCTTCTTCATGTGTTTCTTCAGCTCCTGTTTGGTGAAATAAGAATCCATGGAAATTTCCAGTCGAGGAACAGATCCAAGCTGAATCAAACCAACTCGCACCTGCATGAAGCCAGAATTACAAGAATGGCGACGGATATGATGTTAAGTGGAGAGTGGATGACTGAAGGGCTGGAAATCAAACCTTGTCCTGTCCAATGTCTAGGGCTTGACACAACTTGATTGCATAGTGCTTGGATCTTTCAAAGCTGCCCTTTCCGATGCTGTATGAGCCATCCATTACAAAAATGATATCCATTGCTGCTGAGCACTGCATCACTTCCAATGGAAACACACAAAGAGAAAGAAACGTTAAACACATTGGTCGGGCAGACAAAAAGGAAGTAACATACTATCTTCTCTATGTCTCTCAATATTAAATGTATTTTTGAATAGATTGAAAACACCTTGACATTAAAAAAAGCAAAACCATTGCTCAATTTCTTGTTTCTCATGACTGAAAACAACAAAGTACCACAGAAAAACTCTTTCTCAAGCATGTTTGTACTTGCTGCAGAAGTAAATAATCAGCTGTGTGTTTGAGAGTGCAGCTCATTATGAATAGCACTGTTATGGACAGTGTGTGGTGTGTTGTGTCATGGCTGCACACTGTACTCTGTAATACAGACCACCCACTGATTCAGAGGATTCCTCCATTGGCTTGCATTTCAGCCTTATCTTTTATTACTGCTTCACAATTAAAGTTCAGGTTTCACAGCAGAATTTCCCGTGCAGAGCTGTGAAATTTGATGTTTTGCAGCCTCGCGCATCGACAACCGCAACCGCCATAATGTCACAATTCATTTGCTGTTGCATTTGATACCTCACTCCATTAAAAAAAAGAAACATATTCGGAATGATGTGATGAGGAAGGCACTCACTTTCTGCTGCTGAGTTGATCTTTACAATGTTCTCATGGCTAGTTTGGATCTCCTGCACAGAGGTACCCTGCTGAACTAGGAAGATCAGGGAAATGTCAGACTTGTTTTTACAGTATTTCTCTAAACAGTCCAAGATCATTTTCTATTCAAGATTATAAATGATACTTTTTACAAATGATCAGGTAGGTTGTGTGTTTGATTGCAGCAATCCATTTTTATAAAAATCAAACCCATTTGACACATGAAAAGTGACAGCTAAACAATTAACCACCCATCCCTGAAACCAACCACTCTCCAATACCAAACCATTATGGGGATTGTTGTTGATGGGCACAAATATCTGAGTAGATTTGTCCTGCACTTGAAAAGAATGTACCTTTGGATTGAAAAACCTGCCATGCACTGACCTGTTAACCACTGCCTCTTTGTGTTAACTGTATCCATCTTTAGATGTTTCACAATCGTGAAGTCAAACAATGAATGGGATGCTTTCCTGAAAGCCAAATCAGACTCCCCTTTACCCCTTCTGCAAAGCCTAATTGAGTATTCAAAACTAATGTGAGTGGACAAGTGAAGACAACCATTCTTTAGTTCCATTCACCGAAAAGGACTCCCATCTATTCAGGCACATGTACAGCTTGGAGGGGGGGAGGGGCCCGTGATTTACTGTGCCCCTGCTAACCCCGGGGTTTGTCCAGCACAGAGAAAGAGAACATGGATGATTTTATAAGCGTGTATTTCCGTACTAATCGCTGTTGTGCTTAAGGCATTTTGCGTCTTCCTGATTCAGTACCTAATTCTTTGTTAGAATAGGGGAGAAAATGTCAGAAATTCAAAAAGGTGGGATGGACAGAAGTTAAATCTGAAAAGAAATGAGTAACATATGTTTTCCTCAGATAATTTAGTGCTTATACCACCTCTCTCGTCTGCTTATTTTTTCTTTCCTCAGAGTTACGAAGGGTGTGCTGAGGGTAAAAATATGGCACAGGTAAACCTGTCAGAACAACTACATTTGGTGGATGATCTTTTATTCCAATTTATGACACTTTTTGTGTTAAAAACTGCACTAAATTAAAGTCTGACCATTAAAAAAAAAGATCTACACTGATGTAAACGTCTCAGTTGTATTTGATTTACCTCTGTCCTGAAATATGCCAGGTCTTCCCTGAAAAAGACATACCGGTAGTTTAGATGGGTGTATATTTAGTCTTCACAACCTTTGCCTACATTTACTTTTAAATCTCTTTTTATGGCCAGTCATGTTGAACCGTTTCTCATTTTCTTAAATTGTTGCAACATGTTTCTCAGGCTGCTTCTGACAGATCCCCACTAACCTCTGTGTTTTTAATGACTTCAGCTCCAGAGAAAAATTTAGAGATGCAGCAAACTGTCAAAATGTATTTTGCTTTACATAATGGGAGCTACATATCTTTTGAGCGAGGTTGTTTCACTTGTAAAGATAAAGCACGGGTATATAGAAACATATTCTCCAAACTGAATCATTATCAGATAGTAAAAATTGGGGTAAAGATGAAATATATTCTCTATATTTAAAGACTGCTGGTCCTCCCTCTCTTAACTGCAAGGGACAATCTAGTCTTTCCAAAATGTGTTCAGTCATAATTTCCAAAGGTGATGAGACAGCACACTAATCATCAAAGAAAATCCCCACCTGAACACCAGGGCCCTTTGGTCCGACCTCCTGAGAGCACTGACCCTTTCATACGCCCCTGATCCCAGGATCATTCCAGCTTCTAAGTCCTCTTGACAGTGAGTCTTAAGATGTATTGGCAAGTAGCTCTCTCATTTTCAGATGGCCCCCAGTGTTCGGAACAAAAAGCCCGCTTGTTCGACCTTAATGCCTGACAGTGTATCTTTAATGTCTGTGAAAATAATCTCAGCGGGGATAAACAGTAGCTGTGTAATGAGTGTAAATCGCTGTGCTGTGAGAGTGGTGCCCATTTGGCATTAATCCCACAAAAATTCGTGAGATGTGCTGCACATAGTATTTGCCTGAAATAAACCATTGGCAAACTGTGGAAAATGAGCGTGACTTGCAAGACTTAATTGTGTGGCTATCTCGCACAGCAACATGCCATTTATGTTGTCAGTACAGGACCAAAAAGCAGGGCCTCCTGACAGCGTGAAAAAGTCTGGTTTTGCCAAGATCAAAGTCTTAAAGCAGTCCATAATAAATACTTGACATGATGCTAAAGCTGTCATTTTTTAAAACAACTCAAAGATTACACTTCGCAACCACTCCCTCCCTGTACCCCACAGGCAAATACCAATACTCTCAGGTCCAAAAGAACAACTGAAGATGAGCTAAGAGAGAGTTAAACAGCATTTGAGGATCGGTGCTCATGACTTGTTACCTGCCAGAGCAACACTAATGCTGAATAATAAAGACAGATGTTGCGACGAAAGAATTTTATTTTCACCAAAACAACCATTATTAAGAGATAGCCTTATAAAAATTAAATAAGAAAAAAAAAAAAAAAAGAAATAATGAAACAAATGATGATAACAGTACCGTGGATGTTTTTTTTTTAAATGTCATTGTTAAACTGTATCGTCGTGTGCATGCTTTCACCAACATCCTAATAACATCCTTAATATTTACATTTTTCCCACCTTTTGGAAACAGTTATTTGAACTACTCTTTGTGTGAAGTTTTAGCATACCAGGTTGGCACCAAGTGCAAAATAGTAATAAAAATGTATGAACTGACCTTGAAGGAGCAGCAGACTGAGAAGGAAGCTGAGATAAATAGCGGGGTGCATGCTGGAACACCTGGAATGATAAACAAATGTGCAAACTTAAATCCTAAAAGACAGGACCATAAATGCTTGTTAGAGAGAAAGAGAAAGAAGACAGCCTTAAAAGAAGTGTGAAAAGAAATGGACTTCAATCAGCAAATTTCCCAGCAGCCTCTTAAGGGCTTTTGTGACTGAATTCCGTTCTATTCACTGTAGAAAATACAGAAAAGTTAGATGAAAATGACATTCTGTTCATGTTGAAAGGTAGCTGCAAAAACTCAAGAGACATGATGACAACTTCTCCTGATGGGGCCAATCAGGTTAAAAAGTACGAGCTACATTCTAAGTGCACCCTTATCGGCACAGTGTTGAACTTTCAAATGAGGCTTAAAAAGGGGATCATGATAAATTGATTGCACTCAGAGCATGTCAATTGCCTTTGTACTATGTATTTGTTTATCTAAATTCAGAATGATTGACACAAGTTACAATTCCAAATTCACTGATATGTTAGAATGAGCATTACGCATAGAAGTAAGATGGTTTGACATTGGTTTAATACAATAAGTGCAAACTTAACTCCCTATAAGAAGATATTACACATAGCACTTCCCTCACTTGAAACCTGCATGTGCATGTATTAAGCATTAAAAGATAAAAACTAGGATTTTGTTTGATGAGTTTTTACTGTGTAATACCTTAATGTATTGATTAGATCAGATGCTTTCCAGCTTTACTACTGAGGTAACATGTGATTTGCAAAGGATAGCATCCTAGCTCTCCTTACATCCTCCAAAATGTAATTCACGCCCACTAAGCAAAAGATTACAAGCCGTAGACAATTTGGGGAAGATGCAAAAGCCTACTGGAATTCCTTTGAGACACACATGAGGATTATTTCAGCTATTTTCTTTTATTCAACCCCAAAGCGCAACAATAAAAATGTTGATAACATCAACTTTGGCTGAGAGAAACCAAGTACATTCTTATGTTATAGCATATAAACAAATGCACCAGGCCAGGTCCTCTGATAGTGCTGATTAAAACAAGCAGATGCATGTAGGTTTATATGTTTTATTTTGAATTATATTTGATTGACTTAATAAATGTGAACTGAGAAATCTGACCTCTTAACCACTCCATCACCCTGACACAATCGCCCATTATCTGCTGGCTCCCCTTTCTGCGCAGTCATTGTTGGCTACACATAAGATGTCAGAGGGCAGCAGATATGGTGGGGTTGGCTCCGGCTGCTGATAAGCTCGCTTATAATATCCTGCCTGTCGCTCAGCTGTGTGCACCGAGGCGGGCTAAGACGGCGGGCCGGCCCGGGAGACTTTCCGCGTGTGTAAATCGGTGTGCATTTCTGAGACAGAGATAGAATTGTGTGCAGGATGGAGGCTCCCTTTATGAGGAGCCTGCGTGTCTGTGATAGGGATCTGGAAAGGGGACGTGGCGGTGGCTGACTGAGGGGACCAGGGCAGATAAACATCATCACAAGCCATTGATGTTTTCTTGTGCGTTCACTGCCACGTTTGCTGACGAGAGATTTCATATATTCAGCTTAGGACGTGCATGCTCCCTAAAGGAAGTATCCAAACATGCTAGAATTTAATTGAAATATAACTCTCTCTCACACACACATAGTGAACACACCTGTCTTACAAATTGGCCAGCACTTCATAGGCATTCCTCTGGATCTCTCCACCCCCCATCGCTCTGTTTCCCTACTCTGTCTGTGATGAATAAAGCTGCACATATTGAACTCTGACAATCACAGGGAGGCCAACCAGCCCCGGTCTTAATCTTACATATCTGATTTGAACAAAGTGGTTAACATAGATCACATGAATTTGATTTTGTGCCAAAAGTTTTGGTCTCAGATATCCCATAAAAACAGAAAAAAAACTCACATCGTCTTCTGGCCTTCTGTTGTGCATTCTTCTAAAGCTGGAAAGTGCCTTCACTGTATACACTATCATTATAAATCCAGATACCTCCTAAAGTGTTTTTGGAAAGGCTGGCAAATTGCCAGCACTCAAAGCGTGAGAGGCAACCCTTTGGGAAACACATTTACAGTTTCAAAGGTGACTCACCTGAAATTACAACTTGTAAAACTGACGAACAATTGCAGAAACTTCAGTAGGAAGCCCAAACTGTTCATTAAATTGCTTTGAAGTGTTATTCCAAGAGCAAGCTGGAAACAGCACTAAAGGAGGATAATCACAATAAAGATAAAACAAAAGGACCTATCACAAAACATAAAAAAATATAAAAAAATTCAAATCTCAGCTATATCTCTGCCAAATCTGGTTGTAGGGCTGAAGCTATCACACATGTATTATTATCAAAGTACCAGTGAAATGATTCTTGGTATGTTGAGTACATCTTTTCTCACTTTCACCTTCTCTAAAATATTACTGGAAGGAAACAAACAATCCCACCTATGAAACCGTGAAAGCCTTTTAGGAAGAACTAGTAAGATAGATAGCCGATAAACTTTATTGATATACTTTTATCAGTCACGTGATAAATGCTGTATAGTTAAAAGTGATATCATGATGTAATATTCACCGATCAATACTGTGCATTTCTAAATATGCGAGATGGAAGCTCAAAACCTGTAACCAAAAAGTAAACTTGAGAATTTGCCGACAAACGGTTGATATATTTTAGATTTAGCAGAAATACACAGACATGTTTGTCAGTGGTGATCACTGGCATATAATGTAAATTAAGAGGCCTGACCAGCGTGTATTGTGTCGTTTAGCCTCCAGTTACGTCTCAGATGCCAAACAGCTGGTTGGAGGGTCGGTCAACATCTGGTCACGTGTCGTGGGTCAGCGTAAATGGGACAACCTGACAGCTGACCTGAGAGCTTCCAAACAAGGTGGACTTTGTTAACACGACGTTTTCTTTCGGTCCTGACCTCACATTTGCCACAATTTGTGCCACGAAATAAAACTAATGTTGGCGGATATAAAAATTCAGCAGTTGTCACGTGTTCCAAACGTTTTTTTTTTCTCATAGTTTAAGCATTTGTTGAACCGCGTACAAGTAAGTTGTTGTTTTGTGCATCCAAAGATTCTTCCTTCAGACTCTCAATTCGCCATCATCAGATGTTAGACTCAAACCCTTCCCGGATTTTTCCCCACTAAAAACGCATCCTTACCCTCCAGGTCTCCTCTCGTGCGTTTTAAGTTGGGGCCGTTTTCCAGAGTAGTCCTCCCTCCGTGCTTCTGGACACTTTTCTGCTCCTGCATCTAACGACGCTCAAACCGAAGGAACAGAACCCCACCCACTCCTGACATCCACCTCTGGAGTACCTGCCCTGCTCTCATTTATGCTCCTGTCCCACACGATCAGCCGTGGGAGTGGGGGGATCCCCTCATAAAGAGGAATTAATCGGCAACACTAACATTATGGGGTAAAGTGTCCGAATGTAGTACTTTGCACTGTGGAGAAAGTAACAGACAAACAAAACGCTGCAGGCTTTTAATCTTTTCTCATTCAGAAGTTTTATGTAACACTTGGATGGAACATAACTCAAACGGGAGGCCCCACCTGAGCAGGTGAGTTAGACTCAACAAAAGAACAGAGGAACTGCATGTGTCACGGGGCACGCTAACAGGTGACGGACGCAAAACTGAGGGTGATTGTGCCATTGCTTCTGTGGCTTTTACCGGAAAATATTACTAAAGTGCAATATTAAAACACAGCAAAAACAATGCCATGTAAAAAACATAAAAGCCATAAAAATAAAATGTCTTTACAAAAGGTAAATGAACAATTCCAGTGAGGAACAAGGTTGATTCGGTGTGTTCAGTCTTATTTTTTCGCCACAACAATCTGCTTGATGAGAGTGAGCTGCAGCTGCATCATCTCCTCCAGACTGTCGATCTGTCAGCAGACAAACAAAAGAGCACTTTTACACAGTCAGAAGGAATCAGGAGAAGGATTCATCTGGCACACGTGATTATAATTTAAAAATGATAGCAGCAAAAGCAGCTCTGACCTTTTTCCTGAGGCTCTGACAGCAACAGCTAGAGATCTGAAGATCTAAAATGTAAGTAAAGAGCTCAGTGACCCTCAGACCACTTATCTTTGCGCACCACAGTCTAATGAGCTACCGTGCTAGAGAACAGGTTTTTGCAAAGGTTGCTCAGGTTCTCTTTTAAAGGCGTACATACCATTTCCATTATTTTGAAAAGGCAGCTTGTGGTCATCCATCTTACTCACTGGATCAACTGAAAAACAATAAGAATCTATTTAAATCACCTTTCCCATGTCCCGCTGACTACTGGATTCATGTTTCCTTAAAAAGCGAGCAAATGAACCCTTCAACGGTAGAAGTGTGAACTTGACCCACCATTGGCAGCAGCTGACATGTGTTTCGTGGGCTGAAAGCTGAGGGATGCCGGCTCTGTTTTGGTTGACGTCGGGGTAATGGCCGTCACACCTCCCGGTTCACTTTGGGAATCGGGGAGTGACTTGGACTTGGAGGGGTCAGGCTCAGCTGTACTGCCCTTAGAGGAAGCTGTGCCAGCCCCGTCCGCCCTGTGGGGGGTGTCTGGGTCAGGCCTGCACTGTGTGTGGGCATACAGTGCGCTAACGACCATGGCACTGAGGTCCCCCCCGCCCCGCTCACTGGGCACGGCCAGCGAGAGCACGTTGGCGGCGCCATCGAACGACTGGACAGTGGCATGGACGCCATTTGTAAGCTCGGTCTGAAACATCTGCTTCACCTCCTCTGGCCATTTGGAAGGAAAGTGCTCATTACCTTGAAAGACAAAACAATGAGATGGACGTAAAACAGAGCCCAGAAAAAAGTGTTACGATTTTTGGCGTAGTCTGAAACTCTAGAGGACGACGGCCTTACCGACGAGGGTACAGCGTGTGATCTGGAAAGGGAGCCGCAGCAGGCGTGAGGGGATGGGTAAGATTCGGGCTAAGGGGACCTTCTCCAAGTTGCCATAGTCTGCATAGATTATGCTCATCTCATTCTCCCCAACTTCCAGGACCACGGCACGGTACCAGTTGTTGTCTGATGGACAAAAATGTTCACAGGACAAAGGCCAAATGTGGTGGTAATTCCCCTTAAGACCTTTTTTTTATTTTTATTTGCAGTCATGAAAGGCTTAAACACTACAAAACAATACCAGGGTTAAAGGTTTTCAGTTGGGAAAACATGAAGGATTTACATACAGAAACAAGTCCCAGAAAAATAACAAAGACTACCAAGTGGATTTTTGCAGCAGCTGCTGCAGCATCCAGCAGTCTCCATTAAAACCCACCCTGTTGTTAGCGCACAGTGGAATGTGTGCCACACCGCCGTCTCCCACTTGTATACTGTGTTTAGAGGAGCTCTGACACACACACACACTGTGTAATTATATCCACACACAGACATGGAATTACCAGCGTAGGTCTGCAGTGGCAAGAACTGACAGGGGAGAGTGGGGGTGGGGGGGGACTGGATGGGAGTGTGACAAAACTGTGTGGGAACGGCTGCTTGTAACAACTGGTTGATTTTTCTAAGTGTTTTCTATCATGAGCTGGATGACAGCTTATGAGGGGTAATGGCTGCTAAAACATGAACTGGTTCATTAATTTTTTTAACCTTCTCACAGAAAACGTAAGACAGAAAAGCAAAGTGTTTCCGTACCGGAGAACAGGGCACAGCAGGCGGCCCCTGGAGCAGGTCTGCAGCCCCCCCCTGCAGAGAGGGAGCCCTGACAGCCGCCGCAGTAAGCAGCCAGCTCAACCATCACCTCCTGAAGGTTCTGCTGGTCCACTAAACAGCAACAAACAACAACTCTTTAAAACAAACTTTACCTTTTTTTTTAATACATCCATTTACATAAAGAAGTGAGAGTGGTGCCCTCACCCTGGGTAAGACCCAGCAGGTAGAAGAGGGAAGGGCTGCTGACGGCTGCAGCGTGGGGCTGAAAGCTGGCGTTGAGTGGAAGCTCCACTGTCTTCCAGTCGACTGGGAAAGAAGCAACTGCAGACACATTACAAAGTTTGAATTAGACTCAAGACAGTTTCCAAACAGAATATCCATCTCAGTTACAGGAGATCATGGCTGACCCTCTGAGGGAACTGCGCTTTGCCTGTCACTCATTCTCTTTTTGGGGGTGCCTTCTGTTTGATTAGGAGCTTCTTTATCATGCAGCTGGATTTGCTTGTTCTCTTTGACATCCTCTTCTTTTATTCTTGTGGACTCTGAATGCTTCGCTTCAGAACTCTCTGCAGAAACTTTGGCAAAATGCTCAGAAATGAGGGCAGCTGCCACGTTCTGTTCTCTGCTCTCCAGATCCACGCCGTAACCCTGCTCCGTGGTCTTCAGGACACGAGCAAACAGCTGCTGGCCTTCCAACAGAATCTGAAACCACAGCAGGGCTTCACTGCTCCAGTCCGAGCCATCTGGCTCCACACCTGAAAACAGCACCTGTTAGTCAATTCATCGTTCAGTATTTAGCACTCATTAAACTAGCTTTTGTTTATTTTATCATCTTTTTACCTGTAAGCCAGCAGCACACTGTCTGGAAAGGAAGCGTGAGGAGTTCGGGTGTAATGGGCCGAAGCTTTCCTTTTTCTACTTTCAAACTGTAACCGTAGTCCACAAAGTTCACTGTGGCTTTGTCCTCACTCAGTTCGTTTACCATAGCTCGATACCATGCTCCATCGCCTGGGGGAAGAAAAGCACATTATGGGAAAGTTAAAATACCGAAAAAGGAGAAAAGATCATTTTAAATCTTTCCTCCATCTCAAAGGCTTCACCATAACGTCAACGAAAGTAAAATGTCTTTACATTTCAGATTCACCATTTTAATGTTCTAATTCTTCTAGCATCTGTCATCACGACTAATGAAGATTAAACTAAGACTCAGCCCTTGTGTGATGCTTTTGACAGTATTTACCGGGAAACATGGCACAGCAGGGCTCTCCTATTTTGGGTGTAAAAGGCGGGGCATCACCCTCACAGTGTTGCTTTAGCTGAGCTCCCAGCTCCATCAGCTTTTGATGGTCTGACAAACACAAGCAAACACTTCAGCTGGCAGAGAGACACCGTCACATCTGCATGACACTTAAGAAAATATAACAACAGTAACATGTTCATTTAGACAAACACGTGTATAGGCTGAGGGAATACCTGAGGCATTGTCGATGCGGCAGTGAAACTTTGAAGGGCTCTCTATGACACTGGCTAGGAGAGCCACCACCTGGCCGTCACAGGGAAGCTCAGTACTGGACCACACTAGAGGCTCACACACTGGGGGGCGCACTGAGGACCCAGGTTGACACAGAACATTCACAAAGAGGAGCACAGCCATTATCCGTGGGAACAGAATGTAGCATTATTTCACTTAAAGGGGAAATGAGCCTGAGAATGAGTATGAGATCTGAAATTAACTTCAAACACTTCTTACAATGTGGTTTTTCTGATGTAGTCATCTCATTGGCCGGTTGGGCTCCGCTGGTAGCAGAAACGGGGCTAGAAATGGCAAAGCCTACAGAGATCAGCAGCTCGGCTATGTCGGCATAAGGATCACTGGCTTCATCAGTCATGGTCACCAAGGCCTGGCCCCCTTGTGCTCCCACAATGCCAACGTGCAGTATTTTGTTTGCCAGCTGTTGCTGCAGGGCCAAAATACAGTCCTTTGACCAGCTCTCCCCAACAGGCCGCACCCCTGACAAAAACACCAAACACAGATGTTCACACAAAGGACAAAAAAAAAAAGGAAAGATAAAAATAAAAAGTTCAATACAAAATTCCTAAATAAGTCCATAATACAAACTTTTTGCTATTTATAATTTCATCACTGACAACTTAACCATAACAGTATAAGATAGTTTGATATTGGTTACAGAAGAAATTTATCAAAAATAACTTTAATGCTAAGCAAAATGCACTTTTCTCCAGTTATTCATACCCCGCCAACCCTTTGATACACTACCAGCGAGACAACAGGATATGGCCTGCTTTGGAATGGACAGCAGTGAGGCACTGATAGGTCGCAAATGGCCTAAATCCACCTCCTCAGAGTTGCCAAAATCGATGTAATCGACACAAACTCGCTCCTTTGATGAATATGCCAGAATCTTTGCTCTGTACCACTCCTTGTCCGCTGGAACAAACACGAAGAGGACAGAGGAAGGACTCAATAAGAGAGGATACAAAAGTGATATTCCTTCTGAAGTTAAACATTTCTGGACTAATAGAGAAGTTTACTTCTAAACTGCTGTATTTTCAGAGTCGGTGAATTAAAAACCACATGCCACTGGAATATGAGATACATATCTAAGACCAGAGTGCACAGAGTTTCTTGTACCTGAGAACTGAGCGCAACACACTGTGCCAGGAGCTGGTCTGAACTTCTCTGTGGCTGCAGCCTGGGAGCAGTGTTCTTTTAGCTTCCATTCCAAATTGTTGATTATTCCTACACACCAACATTTCAGCCAAAATGAAGATGCAAAATCTTTTGTTTCTTTATTGAAGTCATAATGCTACTCACCAGCATTAGACGCTTTCTGCACGATAAATTCACTGGGTGACCGGAAGTAGGAGACAGAAACAGAAAACTGGTCACCGACCGCTGTTGGAAGTGGCTCTGGAGGCTGAGCCCAGGAGTTGTCATCTTTCCCGTCTGAGAGACAGCTGAAGTTTTCCAAGGATGTGTCCACCATGTCACCTGAGAGGAATCAAGTCTTCTCGTTAATGCCTGCAGTAAAATACACTAAATAGAGAAATAAGAATAGATAAGAATTTTAAGGTTTCTTAATTCAGATGCTTATCAGAATAGGACATTTTCTAAAAATAGAACCTTTGAAATGAACTTACACATATCTTGCTCAGTTGGTGCCTTGGTCACTGTTTCTTTAAGAGCAAATCCTTGTTCAAGAAGGAATGTGCTCAGATGCTTTCCTAAGAGAGGAGGGAGTTGCATTTAAGGTTTTAATAAATTGTCAAGTTCTGTATCCTAATATTTAAGTCTTTTCAGGTTCATGTAACATACCAGGTGAAAGCAGGATATCCACAGCATGGACATGATTAATCTGCGTTTCCACCAGCTGGACAGTCATGGTCTTGCTAGCCAGCATCTGACGAACTGCAATACAGCATTCGTCTGACCAATTACCAGACGCTGGCGCCACACCTGCAACCCGGCACTCTATCGCCTGCAAGGTATAAAGGCAGGTGTTAATGTCTATTAAACACAAAAGTCAGGATGATTTTTTTTAAAACCAAAATTACTTTATGGGAAGTTTTAATCTCAACTACTGAGTGTGCAGCTAGTTAAAGGCGTAAAACACTAACATTCATCATTGTAACATAAGACACTTGAAAAACAAAAATACCTACTAACACACATAAGCACTCACACATGGGCCAAATGGCTGGATGTTAGCAGGCAAGGGTCTGATCCTGTCCACGCGCACATTTTCTTCATTGCCAAAGTCAATGTAAAGGACAAAAGCCATTTTCTGGTCAGCAGACAAGGTCTGGATAAGGCCTCTGTACCACTTCTAGACATTAGAAAAGAAGAGAGAGGAGCAACTGCGGAACTTTAACAGTTTCTGTAGCAGAAATGCATCTCTAAACTGCTTCAGAGTCTCTATTTACCATATCAGAAGAAAACTGTACGGCACACACTTCTCCAACACAGGGTACATAAGGGATCACCGAGGAGTTGCTGTACGTTTTCTGCAACTCTGTGATGCACTGCAGAACTTCCAGCAGGCTGGGGCTTTGAATAAGGAGGAAAAATCTGCTGGGGTTGTAGAATTCTAATACTGATGCCTGCAAACACAAGCACAGTAAAGACTCACCATTCTTAGTGACCACTAACCACAGATTGGAAGGAACCTAACAATTGCGTAGACCATACCTGCATGTCTGCCCCATTGGGGATTTCAGTAAAATGTAGGTCTTTCATGGAGACCCTCTGAGAGCCAGAGAAAGAAGGTGGAATAAAAAAAAAATAAAAAAAAAAGTCATTACTTTCTGACACAATGTGAGTTTACATAGTGAATGCCTTAAACACTGGAACATCTTTACCTTCACCTCTGCCAGGCTGGATTTATCTCCTGCAGCCAGTGAACCTGCGGTTTCCCTCACCATCTCTCTTAAAATTCATACAGAATTAAGAACACATTAATTGCTTAGTGCAAGGTGAAAAACACAGGTGTTACACATTAGTTGTTACTGACATTGGGTCTTCAATTAGCCCAAAAAAGTCCCTTATCATCGCTCTGTTTATGGAGCTTCACTGGCCACCCGCATTAAATTCTGTGTTCATACCAACCATTTGACAAAGGAAACTGTAAACCATCCCTGGATATAACTGGGGAATCTGGCATATGCACCTGTTTAAAATTATGTGAAAAGTCTGCCAAATTAACCCACTAGCATGTAAATGATGTAGATGCAGCCCTTACGTTGCAGGTTCCGGCGAAGAAGCCTTGCACACGTGTCTGTGTGCATTCCAGTCCTCTGTCTGACACCGTACAGAACAGTAGGCCGTCTTCTTGCAGCTCTTGCACCGATATTTCGCTGTTAAATAATACTCATATAAATGTTGTATCTCTGAAAACATTGATTTTAATACAAAAACAGCTAAACATACTATTATACACAAATGTAACCAAGAAAACTAAAAATCATCCGAAGAATTATCAATAGCCATTGCCACTCCAGGGGGGAAAAATATGTTTCCAGCTGCCACAGTGGCCAGAGGGGAAGGGGGGCGGACTATAAGAAGTTCTTCAAGTTCAATAAAAAATTATTTCTGTCAAAATCGTGATCTTCTAAATTTCCTTTACAGAATATTCATTCTATAAAAGCAGACCAAAAGCAACTCGGGCGCTCTGCTGCCCCCAACTGGTAAGTTGTGCAAATTGAAAGTAAGTATTACATTTGTACGTTACAATTTGTACACACCCACACACTTGATGGATGTAGCATGTGGACAATGGCTTTTGCAAATGTCCACCCCTGTTCAGGACCACGTTTGATCACAGAATTAATCTGGTATTGATTCTTTATTCTAGATAAACTGCAGTCACTTACCTTGCTGGTCACAGAGCTTGCAGTAGTGAACTGCAAGGGCTGGGGGGATGCATCCTGGTTGCTGGAGAGTATTACATAAAACATTCAAAATGGCACAGGGACAAAAAGTGCATTTCAAGTGAGGCTATCAGAGGAAGTTTGCTACATACTGCAGATTTATCCCCCGTGGCCAGTGAAATTGCAGGACCTGAAACATTCAAATGATAACTTAGCAAACTCTAGTGTCAATGGACATTTGGTTCTTATTTTCTTTACAATGAAATAAATAAGCAATCTGCCCCCCCTGATTTACCCTCTGCGAAGGCTCCCGCCGTGGAGGCAACGGTCGGAAGGGGCGAGGTGTCCAGGGTGAAGGGGCTCGAGTAAGGCTTCCTCAAGGGCCGGTTGCGTTGATCCGCATTTTGAGAAAATGGCAGATTCATGTCGAAATTGTCGTCAATCCTTAGTGTAGAATCGCACAATTAAATACAATTTTCGAGCTGGACACATGTTTGCTTATAAATTCTTCAAACACTTAGCTGTCTCTGTGAGCTAATATTGAGCAAAACTTTCTAACTAGAATATATCAGCCAAGGGCGAGAAGTAAATTGGACTCTAAAATATACTTAAGCATACCTGGACAATTAACAATACTGTGTGAAATAAATAATGTTAGAATAATTTGGGTGTGTGTGTCTAAATTAGCACTGCAGGTATCTTACCCAAGAGCAAGTGGTAATCGTAGAAAAGAAATGGTGGCACCTGCGCAACAGCATCAACTACAGGCCAGGCCCAAAATAATACCCATCCACGTTCTGCGCACGAGGAGAGCCTCATTCCTTCCTGTTGCAAAGACGGTTCTTCGCATTATCAAGATATTGTTTCTTAGTTTTTTTTTTTTCTGGGATTGGATGGCTAAATCCATAAAAATAAAAACCAAACCAAAAAAAAAAATATCTATGCAATTGGAAATTATAGTGGAAAACTATATTAATACTGTTTTTGGAGCATTCAACATTTCTATGTTTCAACCAAACTAAAAAAAATTCATACACGCTGTTTTAGTCACTGTTCAATGTATCCCAGGTGTTAGGGTTTCTTTAATTTAGCTCTAATAAGCTTAACTTGGGCCTCAGCGTTTAACAAGTAGGTTCTGTTATGTCTTTCCTAGACTCTGTTTCTAAGAGTTTGTAAAATATCTTAAGAATATTTGGGCAATATTGCATCCCACAGTATGTGACACTTTCAAATGTCGAAAAAAGAATGTTTGTGTTATCTGAGCCACATTGAATAGTTTAAAATTAACATTTCATTAAATGTTTACATAATGCTGCATGTTGCCCCTAAAACTTGGCTTCGTTTAGTAACAGGCTGACAAGAACTCCTTTATATTCAAAAGTAACATTTTATTAGTACAAAATTGCACGTTTAATCCAAGCAGTAGAATGTGGGAATGAGCTTTGCCCTTACTTTCATTTTATCTCGTGTTTGTTCTATACAAACATCACGTAGATACTAAGTTCACTGTTTATTGGCTGCAAATAGATTTGAATGTGTAAATATAGATTTGTTTCGGAGCTTGTAAAAGTGTTTTGTGTCTTGTCAATTTGTTTTCTAAAATGTACATTTGTGTAAAGTTTTGTAAAAAAGTTTGACAATTTTTAATCTTCGTTTCCACCTTCCGGCCACCGTAGATGCAATATCAAACGTCTTTAACATAAGTCTTTGCAAATAAAGGGCGACTACAAGTGTACCTGTCGTCTCTGACGTCAGAACTGCCTTATTTGTCACTGAGCTATCATTGGTTTGTGTAGGCCCATCGTTTCTTCTGCAGTGGCCATATTTGTTGATGTGTCACATTAGAGTGACTTGTTGGTGATCAGCTGGTCAAACACTGAGCTCCAAGTTCACCCTTACAACCGCTTTGCCTCCGGAAATACACCATGGCTTTTCGGATTTGGTGAGTAGATATACAAACACGTTTAATACGTTTCAGCCTGCATCTGTGTTTGATGCCAGTGTTAGCAACGTTAGCTGAAGTGTGATCGGATTGCACTATACAAGCTAACGCCTTTACTATCAACGTTAGCTTAGCTGGGGTAAATACAACGGTGATTTCATAAGGTTTCATTATGTCATAGACTATTCAAGCATGGATCTAGTTTGAACCATCCACTGCTATTTTACTGTGTCCTACTGTCGTCTTTTAGTCTTGTTTTCTATTATCACATCGCTATATTCCTAACGGAGTGTTGCTAACTAAACAGCTAACGAGCTAAAGACAGCACAGGTAGTGCTAACGTTAGATTATTTAAACTGAATAAATCATTAACATATGAAAACTATATATTTCTCACCTGCTCGCAGTGGTTATCCCGATTCACTGTGCCCTCATTACTGCATAAGTTGTGTTGGTTGAATTTATATTTTCGGTGCTGGCATGACACCTGTCAGGAGCATCTTCACGATAAGACTGGTGTTAAGGCTTTCACTGTTTAATTTGAACAAGCCGAACTTATGTTTAGATTTCTTTGTTATATCAATTTACAATGAGCTCATTTTAAGTTCAACAAGGTGGCTTTCAAAATTTTATTTAAATGTTTAATCATTTTCTGTGTACACAACAGTAGTCCTTGGTACTAGAAGAGGTGGGCCTTATGTTCTTTTGGGAGTTTTGTATCAAAGAACAAGGCATAACAGAAGAAACCTGTTGGCATTTTTTCTCTCAAGACAATATTTTACTTTACATAGTTGTATTAAAGATTGAAAGACCCCAAGCCTCTTCCATCCCAGTAATTAGTCACAGAGTAATGCTGACTAAACCCTTTTCAGTCCAGTGTTGGATTATTTCAAACCTACACAGAATATTTCAGACAGAGATAGGACTACTTAATCATTAACATTTTACAAACTTTTAACTGTTAAACTATTTAGATAATCTGTAAATTATCTGTTAGTACACGGCTCCATATCTCTTAAGCAGTGACAAACTCATTCATCCGGTTCTTTCTTAGGCCATGTGTATTGACGGGTAGCAATCACTGCATTAGTTATTGGACTTGTCTGTATAACAAATGCTTAATAGTGTTGAAGAACAAATATTTATGGTATTTTCATTCATTCACTGTTTTCTCCTCCTCCTGATATGAAGTGATATCTTTATCCGTATCTCAAATACCATTTTGTCAACATTGATGTTGATTTGTTCATCATGACTAACGACACATTAGTGTGACCATTTGCTATGAAAAACAGATGGTTACTCCACTAAAACCAGAACTCTAACTACTTTTTTTTTTCTTACTATTCCTGCTAATTGTTATGTGAACTTTCATGATTTATCTGTACTGTAACGTGTCAGACCTAAAGGAAATACTAATGGCCTTTGGCTTTCTACTCTCCTTTTGTATTGACGTAAGCAGACATGGTGAGAAAAGATGCCCTCTTACAGCACACACATTGAGGAAAATGACAGGGATTTCTAAATCTTTCTCTGACATCTTGACTGTTCCTCTCAAATTTGTCTTACTTTGACTCTCAATACACCTGGGGCCCTGCTCAGTTATCATAGATACCTATCTTAGGTGTGTGACGTCATGAGTCATGAACACGCCTCTTGTGTGTGTCAGAGTAATGGGGCGTGTCTGGACATTCTTCATTTATTATGGTAATATATACATTAGAATGAGGAAGTGCTGTGCTAATTGTCAGGGTTTTATCCTGTCTCCAGGACAATGTGCCATTTGACCATGCCGATTGGTTGTTTAAAACATGCTGTTTGAAATGAGCAAACAAAATATCAATCTAGTCTCTCTTTTTCCCCTTCATCCTTTTCTCCCTCTCTGTGCCAGATCTGAACAAGGGAGGGACCACTGAGCAGACAGGTCCTGCAGATCCACAGATTCACAGATAATGGAAGTATCAGAGGCTAATTCAGAGTCAGAGGTGTCACGCTCAGCAGGGCAGCTTCACAACAGTGCATCGAACGTTGAGGAGGAGGAGCACATTTATCTCAGTAGTGCAATTGAGGAAGAAACATGCAGGAAGGTAGAAGATGAATTACTCAAGACTACAACAGATGCTGAGGCTGATACGTGCAGCAATGCAGAGCAGAAAGCTCAGACATGTAGCCAGGAGGATCGAAATGGGAGGGAGCCACCTTCTGATACCAGATGTAAGAGCAGTGTAGTTTCATTTGGAAGTGACGGATCGTCAGAGAGTCTTTTAAATGAAGCTGCTGCTGAGTTGGAAAACCCTGTCCTCCCACAAACTGTAGAAGAAAGCTCTTCTGCTGTCTCTGAGGGAACCTCATTCAGTGTTGAGACTGCTATTCAGAACAGTGATGAGCAGCCACCACTCCAGGTTAGTGGTTGTTCCTCAGAGCCTTCACCTGTGGTCAACAGTGACCCAGCAGAGAGTCCAGTAACGTATTCTGTCCAAAGCACTTCCAAAAACTCACTTTCTGACTCTACAACAACCTCTGGGATCTCTAACGGCCCGTCCAGCCCGAGCTCTGACACCGTCAGCTTCTCGCCTGCTTCCAGCCCACAAGCCAGTGCCAACAACTTGGTCCCCTTGCATTCCTCATCCAGCCCCTACGACACCGACTGCAGCCGAAAGCTTATTTCCCAGATCCAGCGCTCACTGTCGCAGGAGTCCCTCCTGGATGAGCTGGAATCAGAACTGCTGGCTTGTCAGCTGCCTGAAGGTGAAAGTGCCGGACAGAGGAAAGGAAGCCCACCTGTGAACGGACTCCCCGCCGACCAGGAAGACTGCATGGTGGTGTTTGAGAAGTGTGTGCAGTACAAATATGCTCAACAGGAGAAAGCTATTCAGAAGTAAGTTACCTAAAAAATATATATTGTGGCCATGCTAATGGTCTATCAGTAACGGTTCCTTTAAACTGCTTTTTGTACAACACTTTGCTCTGGCTTCAGTGGGTTAGTGGGGAGCTCAGCCCATTTAGTAACTTTTACTTCTAGGTTTTCTCTCACCCCATATGAAAGCCCCCTTTGTAATCTGACACAGGAGAGTAATTGGAATTTAATCTTCAGAATGGTTTTAGGAGCAATATTAAACCTTTGACTATAATCCACATATTGTTCTGTCCAGCTCTGTCCTAATAGCCAAAGTCTAAATCCCTTAGCACTTTGTATAGGCTTGACCTAAATTGTGAATGTGTGGTTGCTTGTACAATCTGTGTGCATAGGTTGCTCGAGGAGAACAAGAGGCACCAGGAGCTGATTCTCGGTATCTGCTCAGAAAAAGACAGCATGAAGGAAGAACTGAAGAAGAGGGCTGAAACAGAAAAGCAACACATGGCCTCCATTAAAAAGGTTTATTTATTCTACTTTTATGTTGTTTGATTCGTACTAAACTGTCACATGGTGAAATATAGGGCTCTGTTTGATCAGTGGTTATTGTCATTCAGGAGTGGATATAACTCAAATATTGTTTAATCCACACTTTATGGTAAAGTGAAGAGACAATCCAAAAGTCAAATCTTGTAAAACTGCACCAGTCACAGTGACTCCGGTTCAATTAAATCTGCACTCCAGCCTTGTGTTGCTGGTGAGTGGGGATGTCAAACAAGGCAGCCCGTAGGGCAGGGGGAAAATGCTGAATCCTGATTACTTGCATTCAGGAGGCGTCTTATTTATTTAGTTCATAATCAGCCATGCCTCTTTGAAGTACAAACCTTAGTATCAAGGTAACTCAGAATAAGCTTTCCCCTGTCACTGAGCCTGAGCCTTCTTTAGCATTGCTGTCACCATAGTTAGTGCTTTATGATTATGTGGCAGCATAGTTTGTTTAAGAAAAAAATTTTTTTTTTCATAAATTAAACTCTGGGACATTTGCTCCACTTATTTCTAAAGAGTTTTGTTCATCGTCAGGTAAACTCAGGTGTGGCCCCGCTTCAGATGTTACCTAATGAGTCACTTATTGGATGTATAACCTCTTGTTGCAGTTGGAGGGCAGGGTGGAGGAGCTGCTGAAAGAACTAAAGGAGTCGCGGGATAAACTAATCCACCAGGAACACACAGCTAAGGCCGCCCTGCAGCACATGCAGAGGGAGACGACTTACCGAATAGAACAGGTATTACTGAGACCTAAACCCCATGAAACCTTTCAGTAACCGGTCCTGCAACTTGGTTCTGCCCGAACCTCCTCCTAACTTTTACATGTCACAATTGTACTACTGACTTGCCTCACAATACATTGTAATAACACCGCCATTCCCAAGGCTTCTAGACAGAGATCCCAAAGACAAATGGAACCCAACAAACCGGAAGGGCAATTCTTTAATTTTATTTCCTTTGGTCGGTTTTGCATGCATAGGCACTTTTCGAATAGCTGCAAAATAGCTCTGAGGCTAACGTGATGGCCACAGTTAACTCAAATCAATTTATTTTATATTTTTTGTGAGGTTTTAATCAGGTGTGTTCCAAGTGCTAATTGCAATTTCTTGATGAGATTGTATCAGAAGCATTTGAAGCCCATAGCATTTCGTTTGAATTCATACTAAGAACCTCATGTGAATAGTCGGTATCACTTTGCATAGATAAATCTCTATTTATCTTGAGCATTAAGGTTTTTCTGAAAGCTTGCTCATTGGTAGTCACAATAGGACAGAACACACTCTCTTTTCCCATACTCTGCAGTCTTTGATATTTGTACAAAACTAGCTGCTGAACGTTCAAGGTCTCTGCACAGTGAACTCCTGTTATTGCAGATTTAATCACTTGTTAAACGAATAGTGCAGGAAGGCACATTTTTCATCCTGAGTTTGCACACCTGGTTCAGTCCAAGTAAGGCACTTTTCTCTTGACAGTTTTGTCACAGTTCCCGGTTTTTAATTTCATCGTTCAATGAACAATGTAAGTTAGATTTTAGACTGTTTATGTCCCTTTGTAAGCCCTTTGCTTGGAGCTAGATAATAACTCAGTATTGATCAACTGTCATTTTTTAGATGCCATTTGATGTAGAATTTATTTAAGATGCCTTAAAAACAAAAGTGGTTATAACAGTCAAACACATCATCTCTTTTATATAAGTATTTTTAATCTTTGTTCACATAAAAGAAACACTATTACACAGCAAATAATACTGGCTGTTTATAGGCCCACAAATCCTTTCTATCTGTCAAACTTAGGACTTGCATGTGATCATCTCAGGGGAGTTAGAAATCCTGGTACGGATGTGAGTCAAGAGGGAAAACAAAGCAGCCGCGACCGCTGGGCTAAAAATAGTGTGTCGTTTAGACTGAAGCAACAATAAGCTGCACACAACAGGTGAAGCCGACAGGATGTCAGACACAAGAACAACATAAAAAAAATAATAATCTGGTCACTTTGCAGACCTCCAATCGCACGTCACACTGCTGCGTTGATGTAACTGGTGGTACCAGGCCAAAAGTGAGGCGGTTAAACCACAGTGTCAGGTTACACCAGATGCTTTTTACAGGCCAGATAGGACAGGTTATGACAATTAATGGTGTAACCTGAGTGGTCCGATTCAATGATACCCACAGAAATGCAAATGTTTTGCCTTATTAGATGTGGATAGCTAATGCTGCAATCTTTTCAGAGCAAACTGATCAGTGGTTAAAGGGAAACTGTTTGTCTTGTGAAATGAAAAAAAAAAAAGGTAAACAAGAAGTGTGATGAGGCGCGTCAAGAGAAGGAGACCATGGTGATGAAATACGTGCGGGGGGAGAAAGAAGCCCTCGACCTGAGACGGGATAAGGAGGGTTTGGAGAAGAGGTTGAGGGAAGCTGTCAAGGAAGTGGACCGTCAAGCTCTCCGAGGAAACCAGCTCGCTCAGGAGAAAGGAAGACTGCAACAGCTGTATGATGTTAAGGTAAATACACTGTTAGTTAAGAGAGAGACATACTTAAACGTTAACATCTTAAAACACGCAATGTCCATTATACACTTGAGAGTGTTTGTTTGTGTTAATTGAAATTACACACACAGCATAACACAGTTGTCTTTTTTAACAATAAAACTCAAGATGTCATAGATTATGGAAACAATGTTCAGGTTTGATCCTGCTAATGCGTAGAAACTTGTTTTTGGCTCACACCAGCCATCTTTTAATGCTTATTGTCACGATCTTCTGATTGCTGATCAAATGTTAAATAGTTTCTCCTCTGTTCCACGCCCTCGTTTTCATAGGAAGGTGATGTTGGCAGGTTGACACGAGAGGTGGAAAAATTGAAGGAGGAGATCAACTCCCATCTCATCAAAGTCAAATGGGCCCAGAACAAACTAAAGAGTGAAGCAGATGCTCATAAGGTAACACAGCTAATTGCTGTTCAGGACTACTATACTAAGCTGAAACCTGTTTGTTAGCTGGAATATATATATGTATATGGACCAAATAGATTGTTCGGTTTTTTCTTCTGGAGAAAACTCTGTGTTATTTTTGCCTTTGTGCTTCAGATTGTTTTCATGCTGTCAAATTGCTGTTCTGCAAACTGTCGGCCCCCACAGACATGATGCGGTGTCTTTCACACCGATTTCCTCTGAACACGCTTTGTGTGGAGGTTATCTAGGTTTTATGGCACTCTTTTTCAGCATTGTAAAAGAAAGGTGCTGTGAGTTCTGGTACTTTTAGGACGCCCACTGAGTCTGTTTTTGTTGTTGTGGCTCTGTTTGTCCCTCCCGATAACTGCTGCAACTTTGTAATGATCTGATCCGTTCTGGCATTTCCAGTCTTTTTTTTCTTTAGATGTTGTTCTTTTTCTTCTGTAATCTGGTTTACAAAAATATAATCAAGGAGAAGGATGTATTGTACGTGCTCCTGTGAGTTTTGCCGTCCTGTTCTAAACATGGCAATGATCTCAGCAGTCAGAGACTTTTATGCGAATGACACACCGAATCGAGATAGCTACATTTTACAGTAGATCACTAATACGTTTTCCTGTGGAGGGTGGATGCGGCTTTAATTTAAAGAGTGTTTCCTTGTTGATGGGACCATTTTGTGTAAACACCAATCCTGTTTACTAAACACATATTCAGGCATGTAAATGGTGCCTCCTTCCCTCTGAATGGGTTTATGTGAAGACGCTCAGTAAAACAACATGGTGAAATGTGTGGTGGGATTCAGGAGCAAAATGAAATGGGATGAAAATGGTATAGTATTGAACCATTCCAGTTATTTTTGACAAAACAGCGCTTTCATTTTTAACAAGCTCCAGGCAAATGCACGGCTGTGAACCACGAAGGGAGGAAGTGAACTCGCAGTAACCGCTGAAGGGCACAGGGGTTTAATGTTTTGCTAATGTTTTCCTTTATGGTTGTGATGTGCATGCATAAACCGCCCCGTTGTTTCAGACCCCCGTCTGCAGGAAAACCGACACGGAAAATCAATTTAAAAACCCTTGTTACGGCTTTATGCTGGAATTCGTTTGAAGTTAGAATGCTCTTCCTGAGACTGTCACAGCTACAGAAGCATGTTCCTGTTCAACTGTGTGCAGGAAACTAAAGACAAACTGAGAGAGACCACGTCCAAGCTGGCTCAAGCTAAAGAGGAGACCGAACAGATCCGCAAGAACTGCCAGGACATGATCCGAACATACCAGGTCTGTAAGGTCTACTTTTATGCACCATCAGAATCAAACTCTGACATCTGTTGTGCGTTTTTGGTTTTCAGTGAAGTGATTTGTATCTTTATGGATTGTGTTTAGTATTCAGCTCAGATGAAAAGATGCTATTCAGCCAACAAGACTGAGTTTTCCTCAGCAGGATGGCAGTTTTCATGTGAACCTTTTGATGGTAGTAAAGAGCTGTTGAAGTTTTGTCAGAACTGAGGAGAGATCAGTTGAGGCTATTGTGATAGTCATTAGCAGCATTTTATCCTGTACAACAGCTGTGCAGTGTAAGGCCACATAAAATGGAATGAACCTCACATAAAAGGACCCGGTCATCGCCAACTCATTTGTCCTTCACATTAATTTGTGTTTCCGACACCTTTTACTCTTGTTTTTCTTAGGAATCAGAGGAGCTCAGGTCCAATGAGCTGGATGCTAAACTGAAAGAGACCAAAGGAGAACTGGAAAAACACAAACAGGAGCAAACAGACCAGTTAGAGGTAACAGCATAATATCTACATAGAAACCCTGTTTCTCACACACGCACAAAACCGTCAACTTTAATCACTGCCATTTCCCCGTAAGGCCAGTCTCATTAACAGCATATTTACCAAAGTGTTCAAACCACAGAGCAACAAGCTTAATCTTACCTGAAACGTTTCACCCTCTAAAAAAAACATCCAGTTATTGTGAGGAAGGAAATGCTGAGGATAAAATGAGATGCATGAGGCTCTTAACAACTCCAGGGCAATTTAGCAGTAATTGAATGTGTTATAATAGAGAGAAAAAAAAGTCATGGATAACTGCATTAATTGCAGAAGTTGCCTCCTCTGAATGTGGAGTCCTTCTTAGTGCCTGGTGTAGGAGACTCTAGCCTATATGATCCAGCTTCCTGTGCTCAAGGCCTTTGAGCTGCTATGATTAGTCCCTCTATGGCAGCTACTAGAGCAGCTTTCCTTTGCCATTAGTTGAGCTTCTCAATGCCAGATGGACCTTCTCCTGCTTTGCCCTAAACCGTTTCACTCTTACTCACCAACTAATCAGCCTTCCTCCAACCGCTTAGTGTTTCATTTTAGGATGCTGGACTTATAAATAAAACCATCTTTATGTAGAAATAAGCATTCATGTTCTGATTGGTGCCCCTTATGTCTGGCTGAGCGGGTTGTGGACTGAGCATCTCCATGGTAGATTATGTGTTTTATGCTATTCTTTTGCACAGTCGGAGTTCTTGATGAGGGATTTTAGTGTCCTGTTGCTGTTCTGGAGTTCCATGGATCGCAGCTTTCATGTGTGCTACTCTTAGTCGTAAGCTTTTCTCAGACTCAGTTCAGCTGGAGCTCAGATTCATATCTGTGTAATTGATCAGTAGCTGGCATGTTGGACTGTTGTTTAATAACTTGTCTGCTATGTATTCTGTTTGAGGAACCTGCTCTATTTCCATTTAATTGAATAACATTGGAAAATATCGCCATTATTTTATGTTTGTTTGTTAAATGTCAACAGTTAAATCTTACCTGGTTGTAAACAGCATCAGTGCACGTTTTACTACAGCAGCTTCCTGAGAAGATGCTATAAAATAGGAATGCGAGTTTATCTTCACTTCAGAGTTCTAAGCTAAGCTCTGCTCTAATTGGCTGTTAAATTTATCCTTTTATGATGGTGTTGATTTGAAAATCTTCAGAAGAAAATATTTATTTTTCAGCTGTTTTCCTCAGAGGTGTAATTGCCCTTGCTGGGAATGGGTATCAAATTCCCTCCTGGGTTCGGTAGGCAGATGCGCATAAACTCATGGACTCAGTCCAAACACAATGGCCTGTTTTCCTCTCTGCCACACTCTTAACGACTCAGACTTTAAAAATAAATGACCTAGAAATAATCAATATGACGTCTTTTAACAATAACCGAGAACACATAACCAGTGAGTCCGGCCTGAAATGAATTTATCCAGCCCTTTAGAAATATCCTTGAATATTAAGAACATTTGTTATTTGGATTTTTCTTTTTGCACCGTTTCCATTTTTGGTGAAAGTTTAGAAAAAAAAAATTTATTTCCTGTTTTGTTTCCGTTTTATGTAAGAATTTCTTTGTAATTTGGTAATGACAACATATGTGTGAGGAACGTTTAATTTTCATTCAATTTTCTTTTGTCCAGTGAACAGATATGTAGTAACATACCAGCCTGATAATATGTGCATATTTTTAGCTTTTAGCCCATCTTTTAGCATGATCTTTGATTTTTCACAGGTTTAACTCCCATGCTGACAAATGGATCAGTCCAGTTCGGTTTTTATTCTAGCATCTGTGCTATGCCTAACTGATGATGCAACTCACTCTTGAATAATGCAAAAAAAAACAGTTTCCATTACTGCTGGGATGATTAAATTTAGATTGGAGGCAAAGGGATGAATAGGGGAAATAGAATTTAGCAGGATCCCCATTACTCCTATGTTGCCTTGGATACCAGAGTAATGGCTTCGTGGAAAAGTTGACTTGCGGTAACATCAGTAAAATTTTTAAAAACCTACAAATCAAACATAAAACCATCATTGCATTTGCATCATTAATGATCACAAAACTATCAGAAATGTGTTGAATGCAACACTTTAGTTGCCAGGAACTGGATCTTCATTTGTGGAATTATGGATTTTACCTCAGGATTTTAATAAAAACATATAATTCTATGTTGTCCTAATCTTAAAGCAAACGGCTGATACAGTATGCATTTAAAGTATGATATCATTCACCGGGCAGGTACACCGCGTAAAGGCCAAAGAGCTGGAGGACCTGAAGAGGAGTTACAAAGAAAGCATGGATGAGCTTGACACTCTTCGCACCAAGGTTTGGCATACATATTAATGTTTGCGCATCTGCGCACATGACACCAGCAAATTGTGTCTCCTCTCTAACGGGGGTGTCGTGTTCCTTAGTTAAAGTGTCTCGAGGACGAGCGTCCACGATGGGAGGATGAGCTGTCCAAATACAGAGAGATTATAAACCGGCAGAAAGCTGAGATTGGCCGCCAGAGAGAGAAGCTAGAAGAGGTCACTGCACTTCAGGAGCAGCGACAGCGGTACACACACACACACACACACACACACACACTCATTGATTTTAAACAAAAGTGTAAAAGCTGAAGCATGGACACAGTTCTTTTTTTTTTTTTGTATGTGTTTGTCAAGACTTTAGGTTATTAGCATGTAATATGGTTAATTGTTGTCCATGTGGATTGATCATTCAAATGAATAATATCAGTTTAATCAGAATATGACAGCTGCCCTTATCTGTATGCAGTGATGAACAGGAGATTGCATCTCTCCGAGAGGAAGTGGATGGCCTGAACAGTCAGATGGCTGACCTGCAACGGGACGTTCAGGGCAGCAGGGAGCGTGAAGCTGAGTTACTGGGCTTTACCGAGAAGCTGAGCAGCAAGAACGCCCAGCTACAGTCGGAGAGCAACTCGCTGCAGTCTCAGGTGGATCAGCTCACGGGCAGATCCACCGAGCTCCAAGAAAAAGTAGAGGACACCAGCAGACTGCTTGAGGACAAGGTCAGGTTATTCAAACACAGCGAGACACAGTGAGGTCTTCACAAAGTGAAATGAGTGTAATGGCCTTTAACACAGTTTAAAAAGGGATGACACAGAATGACACAAGCTCTAGTGTCATTATTGAAATCTGCTCCATCCCAGGGAATCCTTTTTTTGTTTGTAATAATTAAACATAATGGGAAGTAATTTGTGATTGCATGTAGTGACATTAAGGAACAGGCAGCCATTGCTATGATATTTTTCAAAATGTGTCCAAACATGCTGCTGATACTTTTGGTGTGCTCTCATAACAATCCTGCAGTCACGGCAGCTGAAACAGGAGGAGGCGCTGAGGCAGCAGGAGGTGCAGGGTCTGCAGGAGGAGCGGGGGGAACTGCAGGGGGAGGTGGCCCAGCTGAAAACCAGAGTAGAGGAGCTGAGGGATGAGCTGGTCACTCAGAAGAGGAAGCAGGCGGCCAATATTAAGGACCTCACCAAACAACTGATGCAAGGTTAGATACCCGAGTGACCTTCTCTGTCTCTTGCTGCCTAGATAGAGATACAGTTTAATATGAATGTTTCAAATGTGCTAATTGGCTAGAAACAAGATGCAGTTTAGTGGCTGAAAACCGTGGTTCTCCAGTCTCAAAGAATAGCCATAAGACCATTGTTGTATCTATAAGATATGCATTTGATTCCAAAGCAACGCCACTCATTTATGCAGCTAAACTAATTCAAACACAAAGAAAAAGTCAGTGACTATGTGTGAGCTCTAATGTATTTCGTTTAGCCTACAATATATTATCTTCAAATTATTGAACTCCAGTGTCTGTACAGTGTATGCAGGATATGTTTAAAAAAATTTTTTTTTTTAGTGTCGCTGTTTACCATTTTTCTGTTGATTTCAAAGCCACATATGGATCGGTGATACTAATGAGTGAACTGAACGCTGTAAATGTCAGCAGAAAAGAGCAGGAAGCGTCAGCTCTTATCAGCACACAAACACTTGCTTGCCATAAAAGCTCATGTGTCTTGTATTAACACATGGCGATATTCCAGGCTTTTGATGAGGCTGCAGGCCAGGTAATTTATGCAAAAACTAAGGAAAGAAGCTTGAGACATTTGCAACCTTGCATGCTCCTTCATATGTGAAAACGTGCTAAAGATATGTAATGACTGCCAAACAATTTTGAATTGGCTAGTGACGTATACAATTGTTCTTTTTTTTTCCCATTTGTCTTTCTCGACAGCCCGTAAAAAGCTGGAGCACGGTGAGAATGGAGGATGTGATGCCAGCAGTATGGGCAGTCGCTCCAGTTCTTCAGGTACTGCCTTGAGATTTGGTTAGTATTAAATCCTTACAGTAAAAACATTAGGGAAAAGGATTCAACTTTTACATTGTGGTTGTTTTTTTTATTTGACTATATCAAATAAAAAAAAACACATTTTTGATGTGCTTTTTGAATTATCCTGCCAAGAAATTCAAATGATGGAAAATGTGTTTCTTGTTTATAAGAAACAAAAAAAAAGAATGTTCTTACATTATAAAACCACAACAGTAAGCCAAATTCTCTGTTCCCTGTTCTCCCTCAGGCTCCTTGAATGCACGCCATAGTGGGAACAGTGTTGAAGAGCGGTCAGCAGAGAGTCAGTCGGGCCCTTCTGTGGTGGTTGTGGACAGCTTCCCAGAGGTGGACAAGGCTGTGCTTGTGGAGCGTATAGTACGTTTGCAAAAAGCCCTGGCACGGAAGCAGGAAAAAATCGAGTTCATGGAGGATCATATCAAGCAGCTGGTGGAAGAGATCCGCAAAAAGACAAAGTGAGTGGCATGGCTCCAATTAAACAAATCATATTTAGTGAATCATCTGAGTGAATAATAATGCCATTCACATTAACACAGGCGAAGAACACTGATAACAGATAACAGGTGAAACTGTCCGTATTTCTCAGTGCTGATGCCAAATAAAATCTCTGATTGAGGGTTTTGGGCCCCAGTGCTGTTTTTTTTTGTTTATTATTACAGTAGTGCTTTAGTTATGTGGTTTTTAAATTCAGAGACTCTGAAACACACTGTGGAAGCTATTTCTGTGATCTTCCTTTTTAAGAAAACGGACGCCTCTTGTGATAAAATCAGCAGGTCACCCCAGTGCTGCATGATTTCTGAACAGTTCCCTTCACCTGGGAACGAGATGGAGAGTCTACATTTCCTTTTATTCAACAAGCAAACGTTCAGCAACTGATTTGATCATGTCTTGGTATCATTTCTTTGCTTCTCTGCATTTGGGATAAACACAGGCACAGTGTACCTCAGTCTTTGGCAAAGTAGTGCCCCAGCTGACCTTGATGGGCAGTAAATGCTAACGCACACATTTTGGAACCCCCTGTGTCCTTTAGTGTCACTGCTGCTCATCTTCATGTTCTTGTTCAAGCAAATCACGCTCCTCTGACTCATGACAAAGTTCGTTCAGAGTTGTTCATTCTTTAGATGATTCGGGGGATGTCTCATCCACATAAATTTAAATGAATTACGGCTAACAACAATGTGAAGGACATTCTGCTTAATCATGTTAATCACGTTAATCACATCTTTTTTTTCTTTTGTTTTTTTTGTGAGTCACATATGTTTTAAGTCACAATTGTTCTTATCAATGGCCAAAAGGAATTTAGGGCGATGAACAAATTCTTTCACAGAAAAACTCTTATTGATGAACTGTGATTGTGGCAAACATATGTGTATGGTTTAATTACTATTTTATCTTACAGTGAGTGACTTCCTTAGATTTCTGCCATCTCTTCTCTCTTTCATGAAATTTCTCTCTCAGCTTTACACTTGAATCTATTAGCCTCAACCTACATTTAAAATTGAGGACGAATCCCACGGTTGCAGCACTAAATTTAGCTTTTCTGAATCTTGGCTAAGCCCGGCGGTGTTGCGTTACCCAGAGTGTGGATGTGAGTTTGTCCCTTTCGCCTCTTCGTCCCTATCCCCCCAGGACAGCCTGGTGAACATTGATGAACCAGCTGTACGCCTGAAGCAGGTGATGAATAAAAGAGCAGGAGTGTGTAAGCAGCAGTTTATCGAGTGTTCGATCCCAGGCAGGAGTTGGAAAAAAGACGGTTGATTCATTTTTTTATTTACTTTTCTTCTTCCATGGCAGTCTGTATCAGATTGCTTTAGTCAAATCGATTTTGTTTTTTAAAGAATGAAGAGTTGTGCAATGGGAGAATAGGTTTTTGGTTCTTTTGGTTTAAAGTGTAGTTTTGTTTATTTTTTTGTGAGAAGCACCAGTCTGTGTTGTGCTAATGAAATCCTCGATTTAACTGAATCAACGTTTGAATCAGTTTGATATGATTTCTCACTATGTTTTGATCAGAAATATTGGCATTTTTCTCTGCTTTGCTCTCATGACTTGCCTCAGTGTTGGCTGTAATTTCTTATCATCCACCACATCTAACCGATGTGACATATCAAAAATATTTCAAAGTGATTTCTAACATTTAAACGTGAACCAAAGCCCCCTTTTCAATTATTCTTAGATGCTTGTTTAGTCATCTTGAAACTTTTCAACAGGTTTTCCAAAGAGCATGTTCCTGTTGAAGATGAATCACTGTTTTTTTAATGTGGAGCAAGCATAACATTTTATCTCCTTCATTATGAATCACATACATTTAACATAGAATAAATTATCTTTATCATTCCTTCACTCCTGAATGATAATCATGATAAAGACATCTAAGTGCTCTAAATTCTTCATGTGACTATAACTAACAGAATATTTCGAAATAAATTAGAACAGGTTTTTTTTTTTTCTTATTTGTAATCTATCAATAACTTATATCCATTGTTGCTTAATACGATTGTTAAATTAACTTCTGTCCATCAGGCTTGGCTTTGCTTCAGCTGCTGTTTTTCTCTTGGCAATCTGAGACCCAGAAATTTTGAGCCAGAGAATAGTTGAAAAGGGTAATTCAGGTTCTGCTCTGGATTTTCAGCGTCACAAATTTTGATTACTTCTTACCAGACTGGATCACTATAGTAACTTACTCTGGAGATCACAATATGTCAAGTATCTCCTCCCAGTAAATTGGGAAATTGATCTCAATCTCAGAAACGTTTTCTTGAGTCAATAAGGAAAAGTCGTAAAAGAGGGTCTGATTACTCTAAAGCCTGTTCATGCTGATTTGGATTTCATATTTATTTCTTTGATAATGAAAATCTTGAGTGAAATATAAATTAGATCCTTATTTTTTTGTCACGTATTTCATGCTGTGGATCAAATTCACAAAATTGCTTCAGTTGATTCACACGCATCTTACATATTGCTTTTAAAGCCTCTTTTCTTTGCATTTTACAGAAGACAACCTGCCAAAGCAAGCCCACTGAATGTGTTTGAATAGTTTTTATTATTAGTTGTTGTTTTTGTATATTTGTTGTAAAGAGCTTTTAGAACAGCCAGCAACAAATCTGACTGTATATGACTTGAACATTCTGACATAGTTTAAGAATAGCTATGTATTTTATTCACTTAATAAAATACAGAATTGCAAGTCAGTCACATCTATTGGTGCTTACGGGACGTGGCACTGATATCGATCAGCCTCTAACTTGCCCATTTACCTTTCTCCTGCTTTTGGTCTATTTTCTTTCATGTTTTGGCAGCAGCTGCCTTGTCTCTTTTCCATCTGATGGAGTTATAGATTGTTATTGTCGGCTGATGCCAACCCACCTGTTTTTTAAAGATCTGGTCTCATCCTTAGTTGAAGAACTAAGCTGATTAACTTAGTTGGCCAGCATCATATCCTCTTATAATGAGATATCCATTTTTGGTTAAGTTAGGTCAACTAAAGGTACCTTTTGATGTATTGAAGCTGAAGGGATCCAAGGGTTACTGTGTGCTTGCTTGTCTTGCTGCCCCCATCATCAAGTCACATTTCCAAAAGCAATGACATTGTCTTGGTTATTTCTAACCTGCTGCTCACATCTCTACCCCTCAAACATCTGCATGCCATCAGCACATCAGGAAGCCACATCTTTAATTTCTGTCACTTTTGTTTTTTACTAAACACTGTCGTGATGGAATCTTGTTCCAAATATGGACTGTTGAAAGCCTAGTCAGAGGTAAGTTTCCTTTTCTGTGTGTTGTAGCCCAGGTGTGCGTGTATGTGTGCTTGTGGGGGCAGTTGACGGTGGCGGCTTCTTTGCACTAAACATAATTTTTTTGCACCATAGTTAATTGCTTTCTTTTGTTAATAATGCATAACATGCAGCACTTAGGTTTGTGATTTGCTAGATGTTAGTCCGACTTTTTCCGGTGCTTTTAAAGCATCCAGACAGAGAATACATTAATCATCGTAAAATCAAGATGGATGTATTTTCCCCACACAGGCTGCTGGTGCATGCGAGAGCCAATACCTGATGCCACTATAAAGGCTTAAAATGCATGATGAAATTGAACTTCCTTTTATTAGAGTGAACTAATTTGTGGCAGTTTTCGGCTCCTGCATGCTGAGTGACACGTGCAACACAGCTCTCTGTTATGGGCTCTATAGTTATGCTGTGTTGTATAATGTATGAAAGGTAGAATCTGAGAACTAAGATATTTTTCCTGACAGGAATGACTCCCAAGCTTCCTCCAGATCATGTCCATACCTTGTAAAAGATGGAAAAATTCTAAACCACAATTTTAAAATGTTGCAATTGAGCTGATGTTATTTTATTAGTTGAACGTCTGATTTATTTATTTACTTATTTATTTATTTTTGTACTGCTTCCTTAAGCCGATGGTTGCTGTAGTGACCAGAAACAGCTGTCAGTTAGGATGGTGTCAAACAGAATAGATACACAAATTAGATTATTCTGTCCAGGGGTGGTTTACCTGGTGTGTGTCATGGTGAGGAGATGCTTTGTTATGAGCTGCAAATACTAATATGAATGTTTTATTCTAATTTGTTTTGGTAAATCTAATTTTATGCTGGTTAATAAACTCTTTCAGGCATATTTATGTTTGACCGTGTCCAACTCGGTACAGAAAGACAGCTTCTTAAAGAGTTGTGTTATGTTCAGCTCATCGTGTAGTCACAAACTTTTGAACTGTCCCTCTAAAATCCCAGCTGAACCTGAAGTAAAGCCATGCTAGTAAGGTGCTGAATGTGTCTGATGTTTAATGTCGGAGCTTTAGGTGTCTGACTGGGTAGAGAGCAGGTATAAAATATTGATTTCTGGTCCATCTCAAGAGCAAGAGGGCATTCAACTTTTTCTGCATGACTGAATGTAGCCCTCTCGTCTTTTTAAAATAAAATGACATGGTTACATATGGAAAAGCTGTGCAGCTGTAACCTTCAACAGTGTGAGCTACTTTTCTCATTAATAACTGAGGCAAAGCTCAAGTGTCATCATCCCCACGTCGAAAGATTAATGATAAAATATGACTCGCACTCTTTCTTAGTCTTGCTAATTTTTCAGCTTTTTTTTTTTTAGTTCTTTACTCACAAAGGCTAAAGGATATGTGTTGGAGGCAGTAATGAAAATGAATCACTGTGGCAGCTCTCTCTGTGGATCTGCTTTCCTCTAAATAGAAACACTTGTCCGTGTTCTCTGGACTGCACTGGGGAGAACTGAACAACAGGAAATATAGTGCTGTTAAGTTAATGAAATCTCCTCCAAACACGGTTTAACCTCCACACTGTAATGTTGCAGAGATGAAAATGTGTAGTGAAGATTAATCTAAATTTCTCCGACAAACAGGCGTGCTGTGGTTCAATTAATCCACAGCACGTTCCACTTTCACGATTTTCATTACCTTTCTTGGTCTGTCTGACGCAGTAATCATTTTTCTAACGATGACTGAATGTGTCCTCCAGTCTAATAAGCCATCCCACTGGAATTGATACTACCAGACGGTTTAAGGCTCTGTATGCTCTCTTAACTGTGAAATTTTCTGCTCGGGCGTCTCCAGCTGACGCCACAAACCTCACTTGTTTCTTCTCGTTTTGAAGCGCACAGTTTGAGTCGCCTTTTTTCTTGTTCCCCTCCCCCAGGATTATCCAGAGCTATGTGCTCCGAGAGGAGTCAGGGGCCCTCTCAACCGAGGCGTCGGACATTAACAAGGCCCACCTCAGCCGACGGGGGGGCATCATGGCCTCGCTTTACACCTCCCACCCGGCGGACAGCGGGCTGACCCTGGACCTATCGCTGGAGATTAACAGGAAGCTGCAGGCCGTGTTGGAAGACACGCTGCTGAAGAACATCACGCTGAAGGTATGTCAGCGGAGCACTCTGTTTTGAACAAAGAAAACCCGAGCGCAGTTCACTGACCACGCGGATAATGGCAGCGGTTTGCTTCAAGGCTTCTGTTATCTGCTAGTGTGTGTTTGTGTGGGCTGTTTAATTTGCTGTGTTAATGCTGCCTCGGCGACATTATTGTCACAATTTATTAAAGAAAGGCTTTATCAAACCCCGAGGCAGATAAACGCATGTTCTTCTAAATTTTCCTCTCTTTTTGGAGGTTGTTGTGATGATTGGCTGCCTTTCAGCAACCTGACTGATTTGCAGGGATCCACTGATGACTGAAGTCATTCAAAAGAACATATAAAACAGAATAAGATATAAAACGGACAAAGCTACAAAAAACACTGACAGAAAACAGAGAAAAAAGTCCTCAGAATCGGTGTTGTTATTTTCCAGCTTTACATCATCCCCCACAATTTTAAGTATTGGCATCCCAGCTATCCATCCATCCATCCATCCATCCATCCATCCATCCATCCATCCATCCATCCATCCATCCATTTTCAGAACCGCTTATCCCCTAATGGGGTGGATGGGGATCTGGAGCCTAACCCAGTAGTCAATGGGCGAGAGGCGGGGTACACCCTGGACGGTGTGTCAGCATCCCATTTACCATTTATTGTAGCTTCTTTGAGGATTGTTTTTTCACTCTGTTTTCTTTATGTGGACACATACTTTGTGCATTCATTATTTCCTGCCATTCAACACCCTATTGGGTAAAAACAGTCTACCAGAGTAAGACGAGTTATCGTAATGTGCTGCTGAGTTTTTCTAGCAGAGACTTTCAGCAGATGAAAAATGATTGGCATAAAGATGAAAGTAATATCAAACGCTCTCAGGGGCACAATAAAACAAAATGCCTTTTAAAAAGCCAGATTAGTGTTTTGCGTCGATCGTGGTTGCTGGTGGAGCTTTTTCAATTTCCTATGAATATGAGTCATGTTTTTTAAATGAACACCTGCCTTTGGCAAGTCGTTTTTCTACTGTATGAAGGACACAAAGCGCTGTGCAAAACTATCTTTTTTTTTTATAGAATGAATAAATCGGAGCGCGTCAGCTCCTTGTTTATCCTTTCACACGATTCATTTTGTCTGCGCCTCCCTTCTCAGGAGAATCTGCAGACGCTGGGCGCTGAGATTGAAAAGCTTATAAAGCAGCAGAGGGATCCCGATGACGGAGTCCGGAGGAAGTGACGGGAGCACGCCACAGAAAAGAGGAGGCCAAGGACCAAAACCGTACCCTGTGAGGAAGTTCAAACCTTCTCTTGCATATGAAGGAGCAAATGCTGTGTTCAAAGTGGGACGTGAGACCTCTCGACCTCTTTCTGTCCGGCTTGAAGGAAACGTACAAGTTTTTTTTTGTTTTTTTGTTTTCCTTCTGATGCAAGAATTCCTCTTTTGCCTCACGTGTCTCTCCCGCTGCCAAAATAACTTTTTTGGACCAGTTTCTTCAGACTGCCTTGGCAAACACTGACCCTGGATGCCATTGTGATGAATGTTTCTGCAAGATGTACCTTTAAAAAATATCCTAATACTTTGAATTTGCCAGTGAATTCATCCTATAAAAAGATGATTGGAAGGATTTAAGAAAGAATAAAAAGGTAAGCTCACTGAAAGAATCACGGCCAGCAAACTCTTTCCGCCCGTCCGCTGAAGCCCCTGAGACAGCTGTCAGTGAAGGACCGCACCCCCCCCTCAGTGCCAAACGGAGCAGCCCCGGGCTCGATGGGACCTCGTGTGCCACTGTTTAGTTTATTTAGTTTAATTTAAGTGAAATTGTTTTTGCTATGCACAGCACTTGAAACGGAGCTGATCAGACCAGCAGCATCTCTCCAGCCGACTCTCCCATCCGTGGAGACGGAGGTGCTCAACTTCCGGAAGCATCTCTGTGATGTTCCCAACAGCTAACAGCACAACGCCATCAGGGTGGAGGTGTCCGGCCCCTGAGCTGCGTTACGTTTGAAGAAAATGTATGAGAGCTGATGCTTAAATCATGAAGGCTGAAATGTGGAGATTGTCTTTAGTTCTGTTGAAATGAATGTAATTAATTTTTTCCCTTTTTAAGTTTTGATACGGATCCTTTATTTGATTAGATTTATTTCTTATTCTGATTATATTTTCACATAAAGAAAGCTTTGTTTTATTTTCATATTCTCCGAAATTGATTAAAAATTCTGAATAACATTTGAGTCTTTTCCTCTTGGCAACGAGGCTGGGTTAAATGTGTTTTTTTTGGGTTCTTTTTGTTTAGTTTTTTTTTTTTTTTTTAAATGTGATTGTTCCTTAAATGTTTGTGGCATTAACGGCATTCTTCATTTCAAACCGTGAACAGATGCTCACCGTGTGCAGCAGCTTTTTGCACCGTGTGCATGATCATGTCATTTGGAGAGGAAAGAGACTAGAATGTTTAAAGATTCTTGTACACTCCTTCATTCTGATTTCTTTTTTGGAGCATCACTCAGTCCATTGAGCGAAATCAAGTGTAGAAGAATCAAAGGGAGAAATCTGTAGCTGTAGCTCAGGAAAGCCACAGAATCATATCCAGGGACAAAGTGCAATGCTGTTCCAGCCGATATTGTTTTTATTTTCTTGCTTCTGAATGTGACTGTGTGCCAGAAGGCTGTTTTTATGCTTGTGTGTGCAACGTGCGTCTCTGCTCATGTTAGAATATTTAAAATAGTTCACTTGTATGGCTGCATGGGTGCCTTTTTAACCTCTTGAGCTCCTGTATTTACACCCTGTGTACATGCTTTGCTGTCTGGGCTTGTTTGTTCCACTCTGTATTGAGCACAGAAGCTGTTGCTCCCAGAGGGTTTGAAAGTCATTTTTATTTCCACCAGTGTCTCTCAGCCACCCGCGGTATAGTACCTCTCTCATATTTTCTAGCACATTACTCCCTAACGGCAGATAATTAGTCGATCATGCAAGTGTGCACACAACCGAACACTGAAGGACCGGCTTCGACTTGGCTTCAGAGCACCAAAGTTTCTTTTGATTTCTTTTGATCTGATTGAAGAAGCTGTCACAGAAGATAACTCTCCGTCTCCATTTTATCCGCCATCAGAAATGGACTTTTACACTTTTTTGAACGTTTACAGGCCAATCCCCGTAACGTTCACCCTGGGGCTGCACTGAAATGGACCGGCTATGTGGATAAAGATAAAAGCCTCTCGTATTGAGGTCATGGAGACCTTATAGCCGCTCTGTTGCTGCGCTGAGCGCTCAGCAATTGATGTAATTCAACTAACAACTGAACAGACTCCTGTACAACACGGGATCAATATGGAAACCTGACGGCAGCAAACCTAGAGATCGTATCTTGGTTCTCCAGCATACTGACCTAAAACAGCCTTTACCCCTGGGGGAAAATAAAAAAAAAAGAAAGACATTATATTTACCGTCGGATCTAAATTTGATTAATTAAATCCTGGACAGATTTCTATGACGGTAAGGTGCTTACAGCTGCTTAGGTGTTTGTCTTTTTTCCGGTGGAGAGGTGAACTCTAGCCTATGCAACAGACAGGCATGGGATATTCTAAAACAGTCCAAGTAATTCCCCCAAGCATGCTAATGCGCTTTTCCCAGTTTGGTCACCGAATGTTGCACGAATCAGACTGCTGATCTGAAAACGTCCACGTCTTCATAGCCTTGATGTAAAACCGTGCTGCAGCACCATGTGGTCGAATGAATGGAACTTGTGTTTCATTATGAAAATGAAGAATATATGAAGTGTTCAGATGAGTGCCGATCTGTAAAATGAAAATGTCTGTTGGTTGCTCATGCCCTGCCTTGCAATGATTCCCTTTGTTCTGTTTTGTGAAATATCCAAACTGTGATAATAATATGCATTTGTAGATATGTCATTCTGTAAAGTTCTGAGAATTTTTTTTTTTAAGAAAAAAAATAAGATTCTGGATGATGTTTGTATATATGGTGTGTCCAGGGAATAAAAGGAGATGAGTCTTTACCTTGTTATGATTCCGCTGTAAGTCAACCGGCATAATAAAGGATAAATGGGCCATTTCCATTTATCCTGTTCTGTTATTGGAAAAATAACTGAAAAAGGAAGTCTAATTAGGCAAATCTTCAGAGAGACGACCTTTGACCCTTTGACTTCCGTGGCTGCAGTTTTAGGTCCCATTCCAAGAAAATAGATGAATAAATAAACAGCCGCATCAGCAGCTCTGCTGGAGGTCAGGCAACTGGCTACTTTTGTCAGCCTTTGAGGTGATTTAAAGCAGAGGACTACTCCCTATGTCCAGACAGCTCAGGGGGTCAGACTCACCCCACAGCCTCTCCATCATTTTCCAAATGAAATCACATTGCTGTATGAGCCGCTGGGAAACATTTTTCTGGAAGGAGATAAATGTGAAAGCTTCACATCACTGCTGTAGGTTTATGTATTTATTTTTCTTATGGCTAAATTGAAAATAGTACAATTGTGATCAATTTCCCTCTTTGCTTGGATCTGAGGTATCACTATACATCAAATAGTTTTTAGCTTGATGTGACTTTTTTAAATTCTAAATAAGCATTGTAAGAGTGCCTTCGTAGGCATGGTGGAGAGAGACAAAAGGTTCTAGGGGAATGCAGTCTATTTCATTTTTCAGTCTAATAAGTTTTGTGGCTCCAGACTGACTGAAGTGCTGCAGCTCGAATCTGCGTCAGTTAAAAAAAAGGTCTGAAACTGAGAGGGTCACCAAATAGGTTCCTTTGTTTCAGAATCCCATTTCTGAAAGCCACTTTGTTTAACAATACACTTAGTCACCCCGCCACACAGCTCGAATCAAAATTTGCCATCATTCATGCGCTTAGTTTTTTTTCTCTATTACTCTTTCCCACGTATGAGTCTGTGCAGACATTGAAAAGCGCCCACACACCAATGCATAACAACTCTCTCATCAAAATGATACATAATGTAAAAGGGAAAGAAATTCACTTCCGTACAGATTCCTGTCACGTCTGGGTGAAAGTTCCTATTTTCTCTGCAGGCAGAGCAGCAGGTTCAAATATCCAATTCAGGGTATTGGTTCCTAACAGGCTATTTTTAGCCCAGAGATCGCTCCTATCAGTTTAGATGACCACCCTTGAATCCATAAAGCATTGGCCATGTCCTTTAGCCAAAGCAGCATCCATGATAGTAGCTCTTGAAGTACAGAGATAACAGCTATGACCTGTCTCTGTCAGTCTGTTAATGAACTCAGGCACACGTAAAGCATGGGGATAAAAAATAGAAATATTTTCTGAATATGAATTGGACCTCATAATGACTCTGATTAAATTCTGTCAAATACCTTTTATCATTAGCGTTATGTAGCAGTGCACAATAATTTATAGTTTTTTTTAATTGGGTTTATTCATGTAACCGTCTGGTGTGCCCTATTAGAAATATCTGCCCTCACACTTTGATGCCCTCTGTGATGGTTTTTATTACAAGCCACTCTGTTCTGCCACTTCAGAATGAAATCAATAAAATTAATTTAATTCAATAGGGGGAGTAGCACATTAACAACCATATTTAGATTTTTGTTGTCTTTATCAGATTTGTAACATAAAGGGGTGCAAACAGGCTCAAACAGCCTCGTCAGCTGGACTGGATGGACACAAACGGCCAGACCCAGGCGTGTTTGAGCTGGAGCTACATCGCATTGCTCTGTGTCTGTGCTCTCCCCGGAAGTTTGCACACAGTCAATGCTGACAGTGAAGAGTCGGCAAAAAAACCTCTCGAGTGACAGAGACTTTAAAACTGTGGTGTGAGGTAACTGAATCCGTCTGCTCAAACGCTGCAGGACACATGTACTGTAAGAAACTTGAACTTGTACTTGTATTTAGTTTCCAGCTGGACAAGAGAAATGAGCAATCCTAAAGTGAACCCTAAAGTGTGTTGGGCTTGACTTTCTTTCCCCCCTTTCAGACTCTCAGAAGGCTTTGATCACTCTCTGAAGTCCCTTATTGAGTGTAGGTAGGTGTGTGTATCTTTTGAACTGTGCTGTTACTGTGAAAGACCATTGTCGATACATCCAGAGATGGATCGACAATGGTCCAAAAGATTTGAGGCGTCCCAAAAGATTTGAGGCGTAAAAAATATAACTGACATCAGATATCTGCTATTGAGTGATGAACCACTAGCACATAAACTCAGAAGTAGTGTGCAGACAATGGGAAAACAAATCTGCACTGTTTGCTGCTCTTGTTGTCCATGTATCTTAGCAGTTTTATAATTATGTGTGTGATAGGCTACAAATTGCAGCTCTGATGCTTGCTAATCAGTTGACATTATGTAACACGATTGCTGTAGAGGAGGGGCCATATTAACCCTGCCTTTATGTGAGCTGCCATCAATGAAGCAGAGCCAGTATATCAGCAGATGGACACTAAAGTGTGCCAGGTTGACATCGGAATCCAAACAGATGGACGTATGAAGCATAGGACCTGGTCACACTCAGGGTGGGTTTGTGCAGAAATGTATGGTGGGGGGGTTCAACTGATCAGCCTGTGGAAGTTATGATTTTTCACTACTGCTAATCAGAGAGGCACAAGCCAACTCCAGAGCTTCCATGTGGCCATGCTAGTCATTTTTGCCATAGGGTTCATTCATGAATAACATTCACAACTAGCTCAATTTTTATAATATATGTAATATTATTCGCTCATATTGTTTTGATCTGAGAATGTCACTGGGTGGCAAAATATCTATTCATTACATCTGATGTGATGACTCACATGTTGTACAAAATGTTCTGTTTGATGTTCGCATAGCATAAATTTAGCGTCTCTGTTGGGGTCTGATAAGGTTGTAATTATGGGCAATCAGTTACAATTATCTCCAGGTGCTGGCATTTCTTTACCTCACAGATTCCTGTTTGTTTTTCTCTCATATTGTAACAATCTCCCCTACCCGGACAAGAACGAATTATCCAGAACAGCAAACCATCGTTGTACTTCAAAATTGTTTTCTCTTGGACCTTGTAATAAGATGCTTGTACATTGAAAAAGGCATTAGTGTCCCAGCAGCATTCACACAGAGACCTGATGGTGTGTTGAGTGTTTGTAA